CTTTTTCTGTCAGTTGGCGTCGTTTGGTGTGATACAGCTTTTTTACCGGTGTATTATTTCTCTCCAACTTCAATTCCTTTATTATAAACCTACGCGTCTTAGGATCAGTTCTGGAAACGAAATCTAACGTAGAGCACGGTTTAAGAGAATCGATGAACTTAGGAATTTCTCTATAAAAGTGGTTTTTTTCAGTAAAAGAATATCCTTTACATTTTTAGCTTCGAACCTTTTACGCTTCATAGAAAATTCTCAATTGAAAATAACTTTTGAGTATTTGCGTGTACTTCTGCTTCGTGGGCATTCAAATGAAGGTTTTGTGTTGTATTTGTAGAGGGTACTGTATGTCGTGCTTTAGAACAAACTCGTGAATAGTCTCCGTAGCTAGGTATATAGTTTTGTACCTTTGTATTGTGTGTAAAAAAACCTGGTTTTTAACCTTCAAGGTTTTTTTTTCCAAAACCAGCGTACGAAACAAATTAGTCGGCTAAGACCACGCCCCATCACACTCTAAAATTGCGATTATAATCCTTAATTTGTAAGGCAAATCAACTTAAGTGAGTGGTCGACAATTGTTGTTCGACTCTATGATAAATCTTGGATATATCTCCCACTTGTGAAGTTGTAGTTAAATATTTTTTGCTCCTCCATTCAGTCAGAAACGCTATGCATTCTAGCCAACTCTCAATATTCGTATAATTTGTTTTAAATCTGCATTCACATTTGTTAGTGTATTTTAATTATCATACATAAATGTCACTATTTCAATGATTGGTTAAAATTACGGAGGATTTTACAGCTGGCACTGTGTTCGTTACCTCATTCCTACAGACAAATGATTTTATACGTGTACTAGTAACGTCATACCCACAGACGTAAGCTTTAAAGCATGTTTTTTGAAAACAAATTCTCGATCGCTTCCTGGCGAGAATTTTTTAAGGCAGTGTAGTAGGACACTTTCATGTTAGTTTCGTAGTTGTTTACTAGATAGACACTAGTTAAACCTTACAGGTTTCGAAGAAGATTAGTTACATGTGTTCAAGGCTACAGCACAACCAAGTATTGGGAGTGTGGGTGGATCTGCTACCCCAAAATTATCGAAACAATCTCTTAAGTGGCATAGAAGCCGCTCACACTTTGCAAGTCTCCTTTGCAAATGATTTTTTTCTTTTCAAGTAAGTTACAATTGAAGTTAAGGAAGGGGGGGGAGGGGAAGGGCTAGACGTTGTAGTTACTTTTTCGCAACCGTCTTTCTCCGCCTTTTTATTTTCTTGTACGATTAATCAAGAGCTTACCAGTTCCGTATACTTTGTTCCGAATCATTCGTTGAAGTGTTAGTTTGCTCCAGTGTGTACGAGCATAGAAGCAACGGCATCGTTGCGAAAGAGACTTAAGCGCATTCAAAACTGATGTTGTTGTGATTTAGATTAAGTCGTGTTGGATGAGCTGTTTTAGGCACAGTCAAACGCATTCTCATCAAATTTTTCTTAGATTAAAAGGTTTTTAACTTGAAGGTGTATTCAATCAGGGGTTTCATGAAAAGCCTGTTATACCATCGGCTGCCGCTCATGGAAAACGGTTATTGAAAGCCCTTTGACTAACGTGCACCAAGAAAGTCAGTATCTGTGATTGGAAAGGAAGTGTCTTTTGTCATCGGAATTTTTCTGTTTATTTTACTTTTGGTGGCAAGAGAAATTTCGAGATTGAGAACAGTCAAAATGTTAAACTGGAAGTTATGTTGTAGACACCTACTAGAAAAATTCATAGTTTTAAGTTAAGATGTTTTTATCTTAGGCACAGAACAGTTCTTTTTTTTGTTTGTTTTCATTCGTATCCCAATATATCATTCATTCAGTAATTTTATGGCATTATTACGAAATTAAATGGAAATTTTATAATTAATCTACGTAACGAAATAGTGGCGGTTTTATTGATTAAGCAAACCACGAAGTTCAAAAGCAAATCGATCGCGTTGTAAGCGATTGCTGTCAGTCGAATTTAACATACTAAGTGACATAATTGGTTTTCATTCCTAGAGTTTCACGCGGCGCGTGAGCATAATTTTTTTCGCTAAATTTTATTCACTAGCGCGAGGAACTTCGCCAAAAGGAGAAACTGCTCATACACTAGTTTATGTTTCATGGAACATAAATCAATTTCTAAAACAAAGGAATAAGTTAACAAGCATTTGAACTTCGTGGTTCTAATAATTTTATAAACGGCCTGAAAATTTCTATCGTTAAAAATAATTCATCAATTAATTGTGGAAGCACCCATTGCTGGACCCAGTACCTGCCCGCGTCTATTTTGAGCGAGGGGCCTGAGTTAGCTATGGTGTAGGATTTTATAAAACTGGCTCAAGTCGATGTAACAAAATTCCACTTTGGTTCAACATACGTATATTGCTTTTTCCAAGGGGAATTTTTATGCATTCAGATGGGTCCGTATAAGTGAATATTATGTTGATGCACTAAATATATGGTAAATTTTGTACGCGTTCTTAGAAATCGAGTGAAAAAGAAATTGAAAGTCAGATACGATCTGTAAATAATTTGCATCAGAAACGTCAATTTTGAATTAAGTAACATAGAATTGTACAGAACGAATTTTTAAAATAAATTATGATTCATAAAATTTTAACAAGATTTTCAGAGGTAATGATTGTGTCCTGAGTTGTGGGTGACGTATCCTGTTCAAGGGAAGACAGCGGTCAAACGTTGGGTATGCGCATAAGGATCAAATTGGCTGGTCACGCAGCGATTTCCCGCGAAAATTTTCAGAGGAAAACTTAAATACTATCGCTGTGACACAAAAATTGTTAGAAATCTGTTAAAAGAAACTAAAGTTGGGATAAGGAAAACTCGAGACTTCGAACACGAAGCTTGCATGAAAGGTGATGAGGGAATCTTTGAAAACTATTTAGAGTTACAATACCCTACACGATGAACTGAAGCATTAAGGTGAGTGGCTGTTTTTCAATAAGATTTCGTGATAGCCACACACTTCATCATGTATACAGCTCTTGGATAAAGAAAAACAGATTGCCTTTGGGACTACGTCTCTGGTTTACAGTAGTACGGGTCTGTGCGGAATCTTAACCGTTTTTTCTCCAATTCTAGTCGCTGTTAATTGAAAGAGAGGACGTTTTTGTTTTGCTTCATTTACTAAATGCGATTGTGGTCAAACTACTCATTGGATCTTGCCTACTGGAAACTGTTCATGCCCGTGCTTGTTTGCCATAATTTGAGCCTAATAATTTGCATCAAAGCGAGGTAGTTCACTGCCATCTGCCTATCTCCAAGATTTTTTGCCGCCCGAGGAAACTGAGCTTCGTAGAAAGAAATGTATCTACCGCGATGGACTTAAATTTGTCACCCTAAGCAATGTAACTGTCAGTACAAACTATAAGGGATTAGCTTTCATAAGAGTAATTTTGTACACCCATTCCTTCTGCAAACTCAAAACCAACCATCCAACCTGGCGACTTGCTAAACGATCACTAGCTTGTATTATACATTACACTTGAAAAGGTTTTCCTACAAGCTTGTACTGCAGACTGCTAATATGGCCTTATAGTTTTTTGTGTTTCTCACGACCAATATGACTGTCACGAAGACGTGAACCCGTCGAGTACTTAGAGTACTTCAGAAACTCAAGGAATATTTTCGACATTCCATCTTTCTCGCTCCTAAAACAATCATTAGCAGATTCCGGTTTCTGCGCCTAACTGGGGGCACTTATACTCGGAACTGACCACCAAGCCTTTGAAAAGTGGGCAAAGAGATGCTTAAGATGAGACTTTCTTTAGGCTATCTTTTTTTCTTTAAATGATTCATTAGAGGAGTGCCTTGGCGACGTTCCGTCTTGAAAAGATGAAGGGCTCATCTTAGTTTAAACTAAGAACGTATCTTCACTCGGATTTCCCAAAATTCTTGTTCGCAGTTCGTTGACACACGCAATGTCCATAGAAGTCCATGGATTTGTGACGACGCATAAAGGTGGCAGTAATTAACAGATACAGCCTCTCAGTCCAGCCTCTTTACTCCGCCGCCTGTGCAAGAGATACACTTCAGTAATCAAAAAGTCGATCTGTTGGGAAGTTCTGGCCTCGGTTGTTCGAAGGATGGATAGCGTTGTCCACTTGATAAGTCTCTATTCTGTGAAATGGGCAGTTCATCTGCCCTTTAGACAACTACACCTTAATTAATAACACGATTCTCTTTATGTATGGACAGCTCAAGCCAGTCAGTTGTGACTGATGGTGAGTGGGTGCCTCCTTCCGGTCTCCTTCCGTGACGCAATTCCTGAGGTGACGTACTCTTTTGGCGTAAGTATTTTGAAATGTGGTTCTCTTAGCCGCGGTGAGTGCGGATGCTCCACTTTGATCGGGTGATAAATAATGAAATGAGTAAATCAAGCAAAGCAATGACCCACAGAGGTGAGCTGCAATTTAGGCAATTGTAGAAAAGACGTCTGAGAAAATTTCAAGCTTCGACGATATTCGAACCCAGATACTTGTTAGGCGCCATTACCAACAGAGCTACGAAGCTACGCATTGGGAGCGGGGCACATTTTAGAGGGTTCTTCTATCTCGTTGTGATTAGCTTCCTCCGCGATCAGATCAACGAAAAATAGAACGGTCCAAAATCGGAAAATTGACATGCGCCTCAAGCAATAGCGTGAAATATTGGCATAAAGTGTCACCAAATTTAGTATTCATTCTTCTCTTTCTAGCATAGTTCATGATTCTTTTAAATTTTGACAAAAATATTTAGAAGAAAAAATTCAAATAAAAATTCCGCGGAGATCAAAGGAAAGCCCATGGAAATAAAGGCGTTAATTGTAAACCATACAGTAGTTTCTACGTAATTAGTTTATTGTGGACTGGTGTTATTTACAGGAGTAGAGCAGATGGAAGTGATAATTCTTTATTGAAAGTTTTCGAAACACAAATATTTTTTTTCACGCGACTATTCAAAAATTGTTATTTCCGTTTCCGTAAATAGAACCACCGGATGGTGCTTTTAGTTCCAAGTTATTGATCGAACTTTGGTGAAGAACACGAAAACAAGAACGTTATAGACTCCAAAAAGAATTTACCATGTCCTTTACAAACAAGGCTGATCAAAATGCTTTTTAGCTCCGATTCTTGGTTTCAAAATCTCGTGGTAGCCGCTAAATTGACTACTTTGATTTTAAGTGGATTCTGTGCCGCTACAATACATCTCAACGCGCAATATTGCACCGTCAGTCAGTTGTCAAATTAATTTTTTTGTTTTTATTATCAACTAACTGAAGCGAATCAGAACAAATGGGATCCAAGCTGAACCGATGTGAGCAAAGAAAATGTAGGCAGCTACTGAATAATGGAAAGACACACGATACTTTAAGCTTGATAAACTTTAAACTACTCTGTGGATGTAACATTAATTTTGGCTGTTTAAAAAAATGGCTGTTTATCATAAACCCACGTGGCTTGAATGTGATATTGCGACTGAATTGGAACAGCTGGTGCGTTTGGACGCACTTGGAGATATTCCAAGAACCAGTTGTCGTCATTTATAACAATTAAATAAGTATGAATGTAGCAATCAGCCCCAAAATAGGAAATATCTGTTGTCGTTTAAACGGGGTCAATACAGTTCCTTTTAGAGATCACCAAAACAGGAAGGTCGCATTGTTCACTGAGTTGGTTCTTTGGAATAATCGTCAGATTTTTCCACGAAGCTTGCCTAAGTTGTTCCTCTTCCTGTCTCGCTTTGTAGCGGTGTCAGAGGAGGTTTGAACTACTTACAAAAGCACAAACACAGTGCAATCGAAGCTTTATGCGACTCTCTTCGATCTTTAACTCAATCTGGCCTGTTCCCATTGGCTTGTTGCTGGCGGCGTTAGTGATCATGGCATGCTTTTTTCGTAAGCGTCTCTTCAGTTGTTTGAAAAGTAAACAAAACAGTGTCGAATCTGGAACGTATCGACGAAACAGCGAGTTCGACAGTAACACCAATAATCAAGGAACAATTTCTTCATCGACTGATGTGGAGGAATTCTCTAATGGACAACAAGATCGCCGAATTGAGGACTGGATGCCTCCAAACTCAAATAGCGCCATAAGAATTATTTCCTCTCCTTACAATGGTACACTGGTTCGCGGAAGCACAAATCAAGCTATAACAAGCGACCAAGACTCGTACAGTATGGAAATGCCTCCACCATCATACAGTTCCTTGTTTTATTGTCCACCGCCTAAATACGAAGATGTCGTGGTGAGCGCACAGTGAGAGTTGATAAGCGCTGGATGAGAATTTTTACTGAGAGCACGAGGAGCTGTATTCATCTGCAAAAACAATGGACTAGCAAGATATGTATTATAGTTTTGCATCTATTGATCACACCTTAAATTATTTCAAGAAGAGAGTATGAAACGATTTTTTATAGAGCTTATTTGTAAATATTTTTATCGAGGCGACGAACCATTGGTAAAAGAAAATAAGAAGAAAAAGGCTTCGATAACATCAAAGAAGATTGGAAGAAGTGAACTGTGAAGGAGATCAAAACATTTACATAATCATGATGACAAGTCAAATATTTTTTACAAAACAATTCTACTTTTGCGTGATCGTAAGAGGCTGATATTGTTGAGGTCAAGTGTTCCCATGACATTTTCGTACACAACGGAGACAACATTGTCTAATTTTTATGCCAGTTTGAAATATTCAAAATATCGCGGCCACACTTAGAGAAAATGATTATGAAAGAAGAAAAAAAAATAGGAAAAGACTTTTAAGCTCAGATGAAAAGCTATTTAATTTATTTTGTTTCACTGTACTCAGCGTTTTTAATGAAGTAAAAGTTTCTTTAGTCTATCATTGCGTGACTTACAAATCAATGTACGGACGAACTACCAATTCAAGTCACCAGGCGATTAGTCGCCGCAGCAGTTATTTCCAACAAACAGCTTTGCATGTATTGCAAGTCGCTGGGACTAAGTATGTCGCTGAAATAAAGGTACCAAAGCCAAATTGAGTCTTCGCAACCTGTTGGGACATATTATTTTTACAAAAATCCTCATCGTTTCACAAAGCGAATTGTTGCCACGGTTTTTTCTCGCTGCCTATCACAGTTGTACGTGTCCAGGTGTGTTTTGGCATTAAACTCTTCAACTACTAAAATTTGGAATTAAATTCTCCGTTTTGTCTGCGAGAAATTTACCGCAACTTCAGCTCTAATAATTTGGTTATAAATTAAATTTTATCCTGGCCTTAATTTATGTTATTTCATATCATCACTTTTCTACTTTTAACCCTTTAACTCCCAGAAGTGACAAACATGTAACTTCTCCTTAAGATATCCATACGGTTTCTAGCAAACGGTTGATGAGAATACTCAAACTTATCAGGAAGTTGTTTTCTTGATCTTACACCAAATTCTCGTGCCTAATTTACAAGGAATTATGTAGCAGCAAGAGGAGAGAATTAACAATCAGCTCTTGGGAGGTAAGGGGTTAAAATGTCGTGATATTGCGAGTAGTAATTAACTTCAGTTAGACTCTGCCGGAATCGACAGGGTCAAAAATCACGCAGGAGCATCGGAAAAGCGCGACTCTTTAGCTACTGCAGTTCTGCAGACTAACAAATATCATTCACAGGCTGAATGTAGCATAATGCATACGCAACAGCCAACTGTTTTTTGTTTAACAAGTAGTGTGCTTAAAAGTAATGTCTGATTATCGATTATTGGAGGGAACATCAAAACTATGACACCGGCAAACCCTGGCATTGTTCCACATTGACAATATTGACATCACGTTAAAATAATGAGCAAACGTGAAAAAAAATCGTAAATATTAATTCACGAGGTGTTGATGGCGCATTTTCCATGCTAAAAGCTTTTCACATGCTAATACCAAACCTTAAAACCAAATTCAAACAAATATCGTTCAAGATATTATAATCCCTTGATATTGTTGCAGTCATTTTCTTTCGTGATCTTAGCACTTTCATTAACAGCGCATCCAAATAGAAGGAACACCAAATGAGGACATTAGCGGAAGGAACTGGACCCAAGTGCGTCCGTCCATTAAGTAATATTTGTTTTTAAAAATTTATTTGTAAGGAAGCAATTCTCCTACGATCAGACTGTTCTTAAAGATTTTAAATCAACAGAATTGCCCAACGACTGATGCCTAATATCTGTAAGTAAAAATGATTTATAATTTTTGACTGTTAAGTAGACAAATTATTTTGAATTTTCCGTGACTTAAAGGCTGTTTTCTTAAAAAAAAAAAAAAAAAAAAAAAAAAAAATTATTAGCCGCTGACTGAATGAAATTGGTTTTTAACACTATTTCATTACCTTGTCAAACTAGTTGTTGTTGCTATGGTTTTATTTACGGAAGACAGCAAGGCTTTGGTTTGGTAATTTCTGGAGTGCATCTCGATTTGGCGTTTGGTCGGTTGTGATCGACTGATTGTCGGTGATGATTACCGAAGCTCATGGAGGGGGCGGGGGATGTTTAACGTGACGTAAACCACAAGGGGTGGGTGAGTTAATTCAGTATCAAACTGCCTGAGAGGGCTCAGTGAATTTTTATTCAATTTGTGGAGACATCATGGCAAAATCGATTATTGATAATGAATCGATAAATGTTAGTAAAGCTCATCAAAAATATCCTAGCAAAGATTTCGGCAAACTTTGCTAACAAATATTGAATGTGCCGAGGCTATCTTCAAGTTATAAATCGTATTTACGGACGAGATCCTTGTTGCCTTCCAGGAACACCAACTGAAAGAAGCATGGAATTGTGGTACTGATTGGCAGAACTCAAAACAAGACTGAGAAAGTAAAACAAAAACCTGACAAAAAAATGATGCATATTGAAAGAAAAATGCAAAAATGAAAAAAAAAAAAAAAAAAATTAGTAACTAGAGGTATATGATGTAATAAGTTGCCCACTCACTCACAAAATGTTCCCTTAAAAATTCAGTAAGTACCTTTCAGATCTCTGTTTGTTTGCAGTCATTCTTTAAGTGCATTACATTGCTGGTTTTCTTTTACCCCCTATAATTTTTATCATTTGACCTGACTTTGAAGCAGAATTATGTGATATGAATGTCTGTCACATTTTGTTTGCTCTCACGGTTAAATTTTCCGCTCTCAGGTTCAAAGGCAGAGGTAAAACCGACTTCAAAGGTTATTTAAAGGTCGTATTCTTCAAAACATACGTGTTTCAGACATAGGAAAACTAGGCGATTTCAAAACATACATGAATCTATTGTTAGTAACAGTTCAGTAATGTGTGTTTTTCGTTTCAAGGATCGTCCTGAAAAGCAAATACGTCAGAAGATCGTTGATTTAAAACAAATTAATGCTTACCGCTTGCACTTAAAATTACTCGTGTTTAAAATTGTCTTTGCATGTTTTTTCTTTCATCTTTTACAAAATAGAAACTGACGCAGACAATGGCACGACGCTGGCTTTGCTCTCATCATTGTTGATTTTTTTTAATCTCCTTTTGCGTTTTTTGAGGGCCAAGAGAATACCTACGAGAGAAAAAAAAAGGAATTTTTTGTGGTAAAGATTCCTTTACCTTTCGTTTTCATTTTAGCCGGCTTAATCAATATGGAACCAGAAAAGTTTTTAGTTGAGTCAGTAGTTGCATAGCTTAATTTGAATAAAGAAGTGAAAATAACAAATGTTTTGTAGCACGTTGGTCTTCTGTTTGTGTTAATGTCTGTTTTGTCAATAGAAGTATTAGCGAAGGAGAAGAGCTTTGTTCACATAATTGAAAGTGACCAAAACCTTCTAATACACCTGCGGGTTGGAGTCGTTTCCATGACAATGACATCGCCTTTGCATAAAGTGACAGGTGAGACCATTACAATTTTCATTAAGGCAAGAATACGTGTGACTGTTAATTTCGAAACCGAGCTGGCTGAGATAGAATTGACTTGGAAATCAGAGGCGAAGAGTGTCCAGTATTTCAGAGCTTGAATACTTGGAAGTAAGTTTAGGTAAAATAGTCTCGAAGTGTGGCTGTTCAAACAATAGTATTTAAGTGTTTCTGTAACTTTTAAAGTTTTTCATGATAACAGGCCAGCATTTCTGGTACGAAGCCATCTTCCCATTTATTTTAATAACAATGCAGGAAACCTCAATGTTTTAACGTAGCAAAAGTTCGGCTGATTTTGCCGTCGTAGTTAAATAAAACTATTACGTTTATAATTACCGCAAAGGGTTTAGCTTTAAGGGCCAGAGGCACCAAAAGTCGACGAAAAATTTCGACAAATTGCTTGGTATGGAATTTCGTATCATATTTCTATACATCGACGAATATTTATCGTCGAGGTCCATTTTATCGATCGTTCGATCAATAATTTTATGCAATGAAGCTGGTTATACAACAAATTTAGTTTGAATTGACTGGATTCGACGAAGCTTTTAGTGATCTTGAAAGTGGATGTTAAATTGCTAACTGTTCGAGACAGGTGTAATGGAACCAGGTTCCGATGATATTTTTAACTTCGGCTCGTCCCTTAACAAATTAAAATTCAAGTCTTCGTAATTTAAACTCTATCAAAGTTGATTTCAATTATTTGGCTAGCATTGCCACAAAGAAAGGATCTGAATAGGTATAAATATAAACATAGTTTTGATATTGAAGAATTTGTCAATATTGAACGGGAGTAGAAGTTGAAAAACCATCTGTGTTGAACTACTGTCAACGTGCAAAGTACAATTGTCCTATTTGTTTTGTGCTTTGCACAATTAATGAATGTTGCCTTGAATTATTTCCAACTATGGTTACGATCTTATCGGTCATGTCGTTATCGAGCTCTATGTTTGTTTGCTGCATAGAAACATCAATATATTTTTTTGTGAGTGTGTTTTTTTTGCCTTCTGGTGTCGGTTCTGTATATATTGTGTAGTGTTGTACCTTCCAAAATAAAATAAATTCTGTCCTGAATTATCACTTGATTTATTCGGGGCATTTTAGCCTCTGGGGCTGTCGAGTGACAAATGTGTTGGCCAGTAATGGCTTTTCTTTCCGTTTTTTTCCGCCCTCAACGTGTGCTATGCGTGTGCAAAATGTTTGCGATGTGTGCGCAAAGTGCTTGCAATATATGTGTGATGTGTGAGTGATATATGTGCAATATTTGTGTGATATATGTGTGATATGTGTGGGATATGTGTGAAATATTTGTGCGATATATGTGTGATATGTGTGCGATATGTTTGCGAGGTGTGCAAGATGTGCGTTTACATGGTAAAAGAAGAATTTAAGCTCCGACCAGCCATTAAACCCTTAACGATGCGATGTCCTTCGAGGCTCAGTCGGTGGTAATGCAGTATACAATTTATTTCATATATAAAATCTTGCCTGAAATCAATTCTATCTACGGGGACACAGAGCCAAGTTACATTTTGCCTCGATCCCAACACGAGGCTTTGCAAGTCGGTTGGCAGTAGCTCTGGACGAGCACCTGGGAGACCCAGGTACAAGCTATGTTAAAACTTAGTTTCTTAAATTAAGCACTTCTTTCTGGATTATTTTAAATTTATGTTTGCAAACGAGTTTCGATTCGTCAATAGTCATCTGCAAGGTCAAGGATTATTCGTTTTTTTTAAATAGAATTCGTGTATCCAACACGCAAAGGGCAGATTTCAGGCGACATAAGAGCTGCACTTTATTTTCACTTGAACAAGAAATTCTTCTGTTATTGTTCTTGTTTTTGAAGTCAAACTCCTTTCGGTTTTCAAGCTATATTACATGGGTTATCCTGTACAAAGAGGATATATCTTCAACATTTCTCGACATAATTCTCGTCATAAGAAAAGTTTTATTTTAATCACATGGCATTTCTTCTGATTAACGTTCTAATGTCTCTAGAAGCCGAAAATAATTTTCATAACATTTACAAGACGCCGATTAATCAATGTGCTATTACAATATTCTCCCAGCTACCATTGGGTGTTAATAAAAACTGTTGCCTCACAGCTACAATCAAATTAAGGCCCGCAAAACATAGGACGCGTTTTTGACGCATCTCACCTGGTAATTGTGAAAAACTTCATCTGCCTTTGATGATTCATTAACTTGAACTTCTTTAAAGACATGTGGACAGCAATAACTCTAAGAGCTTGTCTGCTCAGTGTACAACAAAATAACAGAGAGAAGAAAATGAATCCGAACGCAGAGCGCGACCAGCAGGGTCTATGAATTTTAGCAAATTTTTTCCCCCACACCAAGATTGCGCTTCATTTCCCACTTCTGTTTCCTTTACTTCCCCCCTCTGTCTGTCATACAATTCTTATGATGTTAGTTCAGAGAATTTGGTATTGGATCAACTAATAGTAGTCTAATTGATTTTTTTCTTTACTCTCATTACCTGTCGGCTCGTTATTATATTGATATTGCCAGAAGAAATTCTGTTCTGGTCATTCATAGTAGTTAAAGAGTTAAAAAGTTAGCTTGCGAAAGCCAGATCAAAATCTGGTTTCTTCCCATAAACGGATATGGGCGAAATTTTAACTTTTGATGGTGGAGCTCTTAGTTTTTACCTGGTAGCTTTTTCTTTCTGATTTATTACAGTCTTATTGCGTTTTATTGCATCTTCGTGTTTTATAGTTTATTTACCCAATCGAATTCGATCTATTTATCTATTCTCTTTTCTACATATTGCCTTAAATTTTATGAATGTCAAGCTTTCGTTTGGTCCTTTAGCTCTTAAATGTAGTTTAATGTACGTAATAAGCGCCAGCTTTTAAAAATTCGTTATGGTGGTCAGTTTGCTTCTTATAACGCGTGGGTAGATTCGGGTGGTTTAACTACCTTAGACATCTCTCAACGGTTTGTTTTACGGCTTTTTGCGGAAGTTTTCGACCTCTCTTTTGGTAAGGAGCCTTAAATTTTTCCAGATCCTGTTAGCGGTGTGAAAACAGGTGACTCTCATACAAAGATTCTCAGCTAACATTTACTTGTGAAGTAAGAAATAACCGAGTGAGATATATCGTGCCGGTTAAACGACTTATTTTAGCACCTGCGCGTCATCTCAATATCATACCATGACGCCTACGCAAAAAGTTCTCAATTAGTCGATGTAGTGAAGGCAACGGAGCTGATGTTTATCTTGTAATTTTACGTGAAGGAGTAATTCTTAAAACGTCTCTCTTAGTCACGGACGCTAAAAATATTTTTTTCATCGTCTATAAGAGATTTTCCGTTTTTAACATGAAAAAACGAGAGAGGAAATTAAAACTTGTCATTTTAGGGAAAATTTCCCTTTCTGACGACAGGAAGTCTAACTTGTCGGCTGGTTGATGTTTGTTAATGCAAAGAAACTAAAATAAAAGTAATAAAAATAATAAAAGTCACGTTTTTGACGTACAGCTGGCTTTAAAAGCAGCCTAATTGTTTTTCGATCTCTCAAAGAGCGAAAGAAATTCAACTAATTGCGAACGTTTGTTCTCTTTCAGAACGATTGTACCTATGCGCCGTGCTTGGTTGCGGCGATCTATGCCGTTTGAGCTCAGTTTTGTTTATCAGAAATATGCTCAGATTTACTTCTGATTACAGTCATGCCCATTTTTAGACGCAAACGCTTCTGGAGCAAAGGTAAAGAGGGCGCTTACATGGTAAGTTCGGATGATAATGAATCATCAACGGGTAAAAACAGTCCAAGAAATCGCGCGGGATCTTACAACTCCGATCCCAGGGGCAGTATCGGTTCTGCTGGCAGTATAGCCACGCCTGGAGGATCTGAAGATGCTAGGAGCTATCAGCTATCGAGAGCGGGCTCGATAGCAACTCGTTCCGTGTCCAAGTCACACCAGAATGGTTTGACAAGCTCTGTAGGGTCGTTGGACGATGACATTGAAGTGTGGGACTCCATCTCTGTACAAGAACAAACCGTTCGGCTCCTTGGTAGTTTCAGGAAACCATCAGTGACAATGCAGCAGATTCAAGTAGAAATAAACGAGGATAAGCTTGCTCAGAGCGGGAGACAGGCTGCTAAGGAAGAAGAGCGTCATGTAGATCCGATGGATGCCGAAACGACGGCTCATGTCAAGAAGGTTGTGGCCTCCATCTTACGGCAGTACAGCGAGGCTTCTAGCGACTCTGGAAGCTCCACAGCTGAAAACTTGGAAACTGAATCCCCCATTTTGTCCGACGAAGAATCATCGGACGAAGAAACCGAAGACGAGTTTGATTTGGAGGCGCATGTCAGGAAAATCTGTAAACACGACAACGGAAGTGACAGCGAGTCGGACGGAAACGGAAGTAACAACTCGGAAAAAGTATTTAAAACTGCCGTCCGTAAGGCAATGAGGAAAATAAAGCGAGAACGATCAGATGAACTAGCCGATTCCGATAACGGATCCATGAAGGGTACGGAAAACGAACGACCGCCGAATAGCGACGGTTCTTCTTCAGAATCTAGCGACGAAAGTAATGACGATGGTAACTCCAGTGGGGCTGGCAGCTTTGAAATGGCACGAGATGTGGACCCTGAGATCCAAGAACTCATGGACGGTGGGCCCATTATTCATCCAAACGGAGATTCATCCGACGCAAACAAATATCGCACCATTTATAAATGTTTCATGCCCGATGAAGGAAAGATCGGTTCCAAACAAGATCCAATCGCTAATCAATCGGAAGATACCGGAAATCCTCCGACGGAAAACCACCGTGAAGATAACTTGGCCTCAAGTTTGGACGATAGCAAAGCACAGGACCTTCGGTGGCCGTTTTCCAGTTTTTATGTGAAAGAAGTACGTCACGAGGCGTCAATCCCAAAGAATTTTGAAGCGCTGCCGTCCTATCGTTCGACCCCAGCCAGCGCGGCGCATCCTGGCCGAAAGAGAAACGTCATGCTGGGACGAGTCTGGTGGGTAGAATGGTGGGCACGGGAGGATACAAAAATGAAATCAGGCGCGGATACTCAGCAGTGACAGATGTATTACGAATGACATTATGGTAAGATATGACTGAGACAAGGATAGTACCAATGCAAACTGGTGGAATCTGAGTTGCCAGAACGTGGCAAGGAGATTCTAATAGCTAAATGTAAACATTAATTTTCTCTAAATTGAATATTCACGGAAAGGCTCGTCTTTTGACACATGTGAAATGAAAGAACTTACTTTAGGAAAGAAATTAATATTTAATGTTTATACTCAGGTGTGTCTGCTGAATGTAAAAACCAATATGTTTCTAAATATTTTACGAATGGCGCGTTAATTTCAACGCATTTCAAATTTTTTGGACTTAACCCTGTAACTCCTAAGATCATATTGTTAATTCTCCCCTCTAGCTGCTACAGATTTCGTTGTAAGTTAACTACGAGATTTTCGTGTTAGATCAAGATAGCTACTTCAGACTGTTAAATTCTCATTACCTGTTTAGTGGATAATCTATGGATATTATGAGGAGAGGTTAGATGTTAATCACTTCTGGGACGTTAAAAGGAAAGTTGAATCATAGAAGCATATCTATACATTTAACGACACCACTATTTTAGATTTATCTAAAATACTTTACGAAACGATAGATTTTCAGTGAAATGTCTTAAATTTAGATCAATTCTTGGCGTCGAACTATACAAAGAATAGACCTAATGCATGAGGAGCCTACTTCTCGTCGTGCTTTTTAAACTTCATGTAAAAAAAATGGATGGTTCTTATCCCGTTACTAGTTTATAAATTATTTCCCAATGTTCTGATTGTTGAATATTGGAACTAAATGAAAATGACAAAGCGTGTATCGAGGGAGTGGGGGTGAGTAGTATCTCAACTAAGAGCTTGATATCGAGGGAGTGGGGGTGAGTAGTATCTCAACTAAGAGCTTGATATCAAAACAGTTTGCGCCTTACATTACGTTCACATCTAGTTTTTCATGAGACGAGATGGTATGAAGTGCCCATTTTGAAATGTATGGAAACACTTGGAAACACGTTAATGTTAATATTACTTGATTTTAACTTTCATGATGTTCTCATTTTATTTGCTCAAACAGCGTCTCCAGCTTTTACTTTATACATTAGAAGGGAAGAGACAATTCTTTCCCCACTCCTCCCCTCTGCCGTCCCTACCACGCCTCCACCCCCATTCCCATTCACTAATTCCACAGGCGGCCCAAGCTCCAGCTGTGCGATAATCATCTTGCGAAATAAGAGCCTTGGAGAAATTATAAGAGTTTGCATGGGAATATTTACGACCGCTCTTAGGAAAAAAAAAATTCTCACCTTACTTCCACAGAGTATCACTTGTTATTTGACCGCTTACTATGTTGAAAAGAACCATTTTAGCGAGTTATCCATTTCTTGGTTTACTACGTAAGAGAAGCCCAATGTTGCACACTCCATTTCCGAACTCCCGATCCGAGAAGCGAGAAATCCAAGCTCAGAATGACCGTGCGGCCACAAATCCAACGCATAATCCAAGCATATATACTGTAGTTTAATTTCAATTTACTGCAAATTCAGTCCTCCCCGTGAAACCGACGCAAAGTCGCAGTTTGCTTCAAAATTTTCCAGTTTAGTCGTTTATAACGGCCCGCGTACACATTCATCGCGACACACGACTGTTGAAAGCAGCTTAGTAACCTTGCTTCCTTTGCAAACTGTGCCTCACCGGGGACCCCACCCTCACTTAGCACCCGTGGTTCTAAAACAATTTATTGACGTCAATTGACGGTGTGGTCCCCGGCGAGGCACGGTTTACAAAGGAGGCAAGAGGGTTACCAAGCTGGTTTTCAGAAATGGATAACTCGCTAAAATGGATTCTGTTCTTTTTTTTCCTCACAGCTGGAACTTGGGCTGCCTGTGCTAGTTCCAGTGTTCTCAGCCCCATCATAAACCCAAGATCGGCAAACTGTTCTGCAGCGGTGCATAATAGTTAACTCGGCATGTGGCACTGTTTTCGGCTTGCCACAAGTTAGGGGGGAAAGGTAAGTAGTTTTAAGTTTAAGGAAACCTTTATTTAGAATTAAAAATTGTTTTCATCTCCTCAAGACCATTACCTCAAAAAGCGAATTTTACAAAACACCTGTTGTATTGGTTTGTGAAATAATGTAGTTTTCAACAATCTTCTCCAGTAAATTTTTCGCACTGGTTGAGAGAGTAGACCTTTAAACGAAGACATCACTGGGCAGAATGCCTATTGTTCTCGCAACATTTACTCGCAGTGGCGAAAATATCATAGATCTGTAATACTAGCGGTGAAGCGTAAACAGGAAGGCTTTCATTAGTCGCAGATCACGTGCGCTTTCCTCCAAAGGGAATACTGCCTTAGCTCATTAACTTGTCAAGGTGGAGCAAAGAAACAAAGGCTTCGTGACGTTTTGTTTCATCTTTTGTTTCTGACATCACACTTAGCGCGCACACTCTGGTTATCGCAAGCGTTGAATTTGTAATGACCATATGCGTTCGATATTTATCGTAGAAAATTACTTGTTCATATCTCGCCAAAACTTAATCAACACACATTTCGCTTCAGCGGGTGTTTTCTATAATTTCCCACTAAGAATTCGATTGTCTCATCGAAAAATTTCTTTTATCGTAAATGAAGCACAAAATTAAGTCTCTGAATCGCTCAAAGTTTTTTCGAAGCGAACGAAACAGAGCATACGATCACATTCGCTATTTTAGGATCACAGTTACTATCGAGCTTTTTATGCTAGTGCTATCTCTGGACTGGAACTGATCATCAGCTCCCGATCGCGTACAGATTGCAGGGCAATCGGGGATTCAGTTAGCTCTGAAAAGAACCGGCTCCCGATCACGAACAGCTTGTTGGTCGATGGACGCCGTCATGATTTGACTGAGTCTGTAATTGAGAATAATTTTACAAGCGAAAGGGTTTCAGCGATGGGCACTGTTTAGTTTGACAGGCTGCATTGTAATTCATGGCTGGGCTGAAGACAATAGCTCGCTTGCTCAAAACGCGCCATTTTTGAACGCAACTTCGACTACAAAATTTTCAAACTGAAAAGGATAAAGGTTCCCGTTGGCCAATTTTCAAAATAAAAACGGTTTCTGTTAGAGAATAGATTGATCTACCATTTGCCATGTGTTGATTTGTCGTGGGTAATAGGAGTTTTCAGAAAATCGCTCTTGAAAATGACTTTCCTACTAAAAATGACCGGATTTTGAGTATTTCCAAGTGCAAAAGGATAATCATTCTACCTCATAAAAATCGTTCATTTTAGATGCAAATTGTAGATGCAGCTTAAATCTTCAAAAAGTCGTGCGTTGATTTAGAAGCAAGCTCTTCTTAAACTCAGAAAAATTAGTTTTACGAAGCCTAATGGGCCAATTTTGGCCCTTTCTCCTGTAATTTAGGGCTCTTCAAAGCGAGGTTGCAAAAAGGATGGAAAGCAACGTTATTTTATAACGTAACGAAGATTTAGTGACAAGATATTGTAACGCCATCGAATATAGAGGAACTAAGTAATGCAAAATTTTGTGACTTACCGCACGGTATGACTGTATTATCAAAACTGAGACTTAAGCTCATTAAACACTTAGGATATGATGATAGCAGTAAAAAGTAATTAATGCCAAGTGTACTGATAGTTTTACATTTGATTTATATTTGGACCACAGAGAGGCCTGCTACCACTTAATCAAAACTATGTCAACATTTGAGAAACAAAATACCATCAGTGAAACGTGCTCAATTTTTTTTTATGACCACGGGAATATGAACCTAGCAGTTTGTTATATGAGAGGACCCAAAAATGACGTGCATCGTCCAATGCTGATAACCACCAATTTTCGAGACTTTTTTCATGGTTGGATGAAATGAATGAGTTCTTGGGAGACGTCTGACAAATTTGAAGGCTAACGATTCTGATATTATTGATGGAAATATCCAGTGAGGGAAGAAATCCCGAGAAAGAACACCTGGTCAGTGTTAACTAACATTGGGAGTGTACTTGATATTTTTAAATATATGTCATTTTGAAGTCGTGTTCTAAATCACGCACTGAAGTAGAGAAAGTTTTGAATACGTGTATCATAAAACTTCGTCATATTCTCACAAGTGGATGGCGAACTCATATGTGATACGTTGGTTTCAGAAGACATTTTACAGACCATTTTGGTCGAATGAAATTTCATCCAATTTTCAAGTTAGGACACATCGAAGTCACCCATTTAATAAACAATTTCAATATCAGAGAATCTAGCTTTACATATTCAACTGAAGCAAATCCACATTGAATCCGCATGAACTGTATCATGCTGATTTAAGTCTTTCTTTGTAACCATTCATCGCCACGTTTTCGTCCGTGGTTGTACCAAATAGCACCAATTCCTTGTAATGATATATATTGAACTTTGTACTCTGCGTTGATTGAAACTGATGATGACAGAGGAATTGTCGCAACAAGTTTCTCGGAATCAAATTATTGTGTTGTTCTTAAGAATTTCGCGGAAGAGAGCCATTTTATTTTGAATCGACTTTGACGCAGGCTTTGTCATTGTGATCATCCTCAGGTAATGACTCAGAGGGAAACGGAGAGGAAAAATTCTCAAAAGTCTTAATTACTTGGCTCATCCTAAAACAAAACCAAAGTTATCACAATGACTAAACAGAACGAAAGAAAAGATCATTATGAGCTAATAAGAACTTAAACGAAGTAGTGACAAACTGCCTGAAGCGCTGGAGAACGCCAGTGACCAATCCCTGCGGGGTTTATTTTTACATCTCTTTGTTTAGAAAGACACAACATGTCTTTATTAATCAAAGGTGTTCTCTAATCATTGTCGTAAGCTAAATTAACCGCGATAACTCGTTTATGTCGTGTAAAGAACTTAACAAGAGGAAGTAAAAGATCTCACGAAGGTGAAGTCCCAGGAGAACGTCGCCTAGAAAATCAACTTCCATTTCCCCCGAAAATTTTGCCAGAAATTTGATGTAATTACCGTTTCTGACAGCGCAAGATCCCACCATTAGCCTAATATGGAAATGCAGTGAAGACTGATTCGTCATCGAGGCTTCCGCTCTAAGAGTTCACAAAATTTGGGGGTTTCACGTTATTGTTTTCATAGAGCGGCTAAGAAATGTACAAAACAGTTTAAAACGCACATGTTGGACTGTTGTTTTGCGCATTAAATCTTTTGTTTCGCTACTTTCTCATGGGCGTTGCTGACGTCGTTTTCAAGGAAATTATCACGTAATATTTCAGCTTCGTGACTAAACACTCTCTCGGTTGAATTATTCTTATCTTCGGTGACGAAATAGGTCAAGGTTTGACCTGAAAGTCTGGATTTGTTTAAAATAATGCCTGCACTCACACATACAACTTTATTTTTTCTTTTTCTCATTGATTAATGGTCAGCAGAAGTCCTACAACGTTGACACAGGGTGGAGTCATTGCTAATTCGGGAAACACTAATGAACACTTCTCATCTTACAATCTCTTACGTCTTTAAATGGCTTCTATGGAAAGTTTTCACAAACATTTTCCGCCTTCTATTCTAAAATTTGGCCAACATTGGTTTGCCCTTATATACTTTTACGTCTTCTACTTTCACTCCCACAGCAAGTTACGATAATGGTTTTTGTATTGCCGGGAAAAATCATTCAATGTTTACAAGATAACCACGGACGCTAAAATAAAATGTAATGAAGCTAGAAATTCAACTGCGGATGATAAATAGGATGGGCTCTACATGGAGCGAATAAAGTGAACAAATCCTGCCAAAGGAGGGAGTGAAAGCATCGCGTTAACGCGGTGTTTCTCAAACTGTGCATTTGAATGTTTCTAAGAGTTGCTATTTTCGAACGTTTACAAGTACGCCAAGTAATTAAGAAGAAGTACGGATAACAATCAATAATCTGAAGTATTTGAACAAATATCGCCCTAGTATTTAGTGCTTGATTATATTACAGATAATATTCGATGAAAACGTGGGTTGGTGCCTTGTCGTCAATTGTTCTAGTGTTTTTATAAATTAAAAATATAAAACTACTTGAGATTCTTGTGTTTTTTCTGATCATTAGACTTCAAGCGCATCTCAGCTTTCCGTCACAGTTTTAGGTTCCTGAGCCTGAATTTCTCTTAGTCGTTCAGGTGGAAAATTGTTTTTTTAAGTACACAAACTATTAGTTGACGATCTAAAGGGTCTTTTCCTTCAAAACAAACCTGAAAACCCCTCATTGAATGACCACAGAGCCAGCCCAGACACACGAGCTCAATACAAGAACCAGATATTGAAGTAGATTGCCTTGAACGTTGTATTTCAACCTTATTTGGGTTACATGGACTGTAAAATCATCGCCAAAAAAGCTAGTCTCGTTTCACCTGTGTTGTAAAATGATTTTTAAGGATATCATGGGCTGGTTTGATGTCTGGAGATAGAGTTCAAAACCAAAAATAGTAAATAAAGAGGTTCTTTCGATTCTTGAACTTTATAAAAACGTCACTACAGCATTTGCAGAAATTAATCAACAATCTCTACATACTTTCGATTTTCATGTTGTCGTATTTTATGTACACTAAACTGCAATCTGTGCGTTGTGGTCCAATTTCTCACTAACTCGGTTGAAATGGGATAAATTTGGATTAAATAGCATAATATTAAAGAATCACAAACAATTTGCAATTTACGGTCTATAAGACTCAGTATTCTAGGTTTTGATGTTCAAACTACTCTCAGTTGATAATACGAAATTACCCTGTTACAATCGTCGTTAGCCCAGATTTAATAATAATTTTTAGTAAGTCAAAGATTCCAAGAAAAAGGTCTATTCCCCCTAAAATGATTCGACGTCGGCAAAACTGCTGGGGAATCGTCATCATTACCGGTTTTAGTAAAATTGAAGTTAGTTATATGACATCAAAACTCCCCGTCAGGTAATGTTGAAAATAGGCAACGTTTAAATCATATTTTTTTTAATAATTCGGTATTCTCCCTTTTGGCTTCTACTCATTTCCGAGTAAATTGGTTGGGAGAATTCGCCAAGTAAAATGAAATAAAATTTTCAAGTCAGCAAAGCAAAACTCAACAGTAGTAAATGAATTTGTAGCTATGTTCGAATTCAGCTGGAATGTTCTAATCGCTGCCTACTATTTCAGAAAGGCAATCAAAGATAGTTCAGTGAGATAAAGCATTGTGGGAAATATCAGAATTCTGATTCTTGTGGTTATCAGTGGTTGCGCGGTGTAGCACTCCATGCTGTTTACCTAACTTCAGCTATCATAATTTACCAATGTACCGCGGATTCCTGACGTTCTTTTGATAATTAAACCTCGTGAAAATTTCAGCTTTTCAGCTGGGTCGCTCAACTAGAAAATTAAGAATTTAAATTCGCTAGTTTACCGTACGCTGAGCGAAGAAAAGGAGACTTTCCCATCCAAAATAAACATGAAACACGCTTCTTACAACCTCGGAGAAAAAAAAAGGCATATAAATTACGAACCACTCTATTCCAGAAATTGTCTAAAAAATATACGCGCTCAATATATGAAGAAAATATTGCTCTTGAGGGATTCGCGAACGTGTGGTTGAGTATTGTTGTGGTTTCTCGACTAAACGTGTAGGTAGAACCTATCAGGCTAGAAATTTCTTTGCTGCGAAAGAAGGGTTTGTCTTGTAGATGGCTGGCATAGGTTGAAAGCTGAAACTAGTTGATGAAATGGCTTTCCGACTATTGACTCGTGAAAATGTCATATCAGTATTAATAGAACCGATCTAGTTGGTTTCACTTTCGATGTCACGTTAGTGGGGCAAATATACTGAATTCCATCCCGTAAGCTCCAGTCCAATATCTTAAAAAACCAGAACGATTGTTTGACAAAAGAGCTCAAAACATGTTAGAACATAAAGAAAATTAAACTCTTAAGCAACACATTTTTAAAAACTCCTTAGCTGGATTCTTAACCACAATTAGCAATGCATAGTCACGTTTGCATCATAGTCCAATTTCAAACTCTAATTGACTCAACACTTATTTTATTAGAATTAATGATTCTTTATTGTCATTTCACTTCCATACCATTTAAGAGACAGTTTTGTGGGCGCCCTACTGTCGGGCTTTAGCGAAACGTGAAATCGGGCAGGTTCCTGAAAGGTTTTGGTCTGTGTGCGGTCACTGGTCAAGGTTACAGCGGCCCCAAAGTGTTTTCAATTTTTAGTAACTTACAAAAAAAAAATCCTGTTAAGAACTTTACTCAATATCTTTTACGCCTTTTGACCGATGATGGGGTTTGTTCTTTCAGCACAGTATGTTTGTGGGCAAGCGTTTCCAAAGCGAATACTACGGATCTCAATAAACAAGTTTTTATCCGTTTCATTCAAGAGTTTTCCGTTGACAAGAAAGGAAGGCATGACACACGCCTGTGACGTCATGGAAACCGGAAGTCCTTTAACCAGTGTGAAAGGTATGTATAAAGTCATAATACATAAACAACTTAAATATAAAAAGATACTTCATTCATACCGTCACAACTGGGAAGAAACAACCTCACGCGAGCGAGCCAAGCAAGGGGAGATAAACCTCGACGTGGATTTTTATAATCTTAATAAGATGGGACTTAATCAAATCATGAAATTTTTCGTTTTCTATCCAGCGATGGTTTTAGTTTCATGTGCGATCGGTGTGTCATCGCAGTGTAATGGTGAATTGGAATCATGCTCTCACGGACTATGTAGCGATGAATGTGAAAACTCGAATGCTTCAGGCAGCGGAGTGGAGATCATTGTAATCATTATGAGTATATCTGTGGCATTAATTATTGGACTTGCTATCGTTTTGGTTTACGTGTGCTTTAAACAAGGACCTTGGTCACAGAGTGTCGACGCACCATCGAATGAGAGCACCACATGCGATTCAAGCACGGGTGTGGAAATTCCAGACTACTTAATGCGAAGGCGATTTTCGTCGCTCAGTATGACTGCTGGTCCTCCGCCTTATTTTAGTCTTTTTAGCTTCAATTTAAACGGTATTGGCGAGATGCAAAGCACGGTTGTAGGAGAAAACGTGGGAACTGAAACATCAAATGAACAACCGCCAGAGTATGGTATTTTGTTCGGAAACTCTCCCCCTCCGTATGAGCATGTGGTGAAGATTTCGCAGTTACTAAAGCCTTTAGAAACAGGGACCACTGTTATCACCACCGCTGGCTGATGAAAAATTTACTCAAAGTTTAAGTGCGGTGCGGTCCAAGTGAAGAACTAAACGTGTTCGTTACTGTTGAATCACGCGATGTGATTAAGATTGCACGCGGTGGCACGCAATGGTCTCACTGTACAGTTATGTAAGCTCACAGTGGCAGTCTATCAGAGGCTAAAGTCTGTGTCAAATGGTAAAGTTTAAAATAATTTATCATACTGCAAACGGCAATTTTGATCTTTTTTCCTGTTAATTATCCAAAAATTCATGCGAAATAATTAAATTCACGGCGATTATGTTGCTCCCACAAACTAAAATGAAGGGTCGCTTTTATTTATTCTATTCATGTTTCGCCTGTTAACTTAATTTGCTTTCGATGAGTACTTCGAAGACGACTCTGTAAGTTATAACTTGAAGAATGCCTTTAATTTTCAGTTTCGTTCAGAAGATAGTCTTTCAAAAGAAAGTCCCTTAGAAGATAGTCTTTAGTTATATGTGCAGTTCAAGTAATTTTGACGGCAATGCCCTCTCGTATTTTTTTAGATTACTGTATTTCACTGAAAATAAGAATTTAAAAAACATCTGTCTTTATCACTCTTGTTACTGTACAAAACTTGGAAGAAAGACAAACAAATCAAAACAAAAAAAAAATTAACAGGATTTGCATTTTTGTTTCATCTCGTCGTGTGGCGGAGGGGCCGGAAAAAGGCGAGTCCGGAAAATCGACCTTCGGGTTTCAAATTAAACGGCTTTTACGTAATCTCCTAGTAAAACCGCACGAGTTAATTACAAAGTCTTATTATAAGTGAATTTTGTAGTTGTAAGAATTTACTTGCTAATTCTTCTACGTTCAAATATCCTTTTAAATCTTTGATTTCAAAGATCTAAGAATCCTTTTTTTTAGATTTGATTTTACTTCTTTTAACTTACTAGCGGGCACAGCCTTTATTGCCATTGCACGGATCAACTTTGTAAAAGGTGAATTTTATTCGTTTCTATTTATTGCTATTGATTGTAAATAGTTGAGCAAGTATTCGTTATTCATGCACACGTTGAAAGTTGTATATATTATTTAACTTTAATTTATTTGGTTCAAAATAAAGAGTACACAAATTTATGTGAGGAATGGTTTCGTAATGTCAATAGACGTGAAAGAAATTCATTGCAACAACATTGTGCAGATGGTCCAACGCCCGCAACAGCAGTTCAGTTATTTTATTTGTAAACGTTGGTGATGAGGTAATAAGATTAAGGCTTCCTGTTTTGTAAGTAACAATGATCAATGCGGTCCGATTTAAAAAAATGTTGTTTTCGTGTTTAGACTTGGTTTGCGCGAGGAAATGATTCAAGTTAGATAAACTCCATGGCAAATGGGGAAGTAAGTGGGCGGATAGCAGGGGAAAACGATAATACTTTCATTACATTGGACGACATTCTTTCAATATCCTCTCGACATGATTAGTTTTATATTTCTAGAAGAAGCGGTAACTTTTATCTCCCTTGCGCTGTTCACCCTATTGTCCGTGCGTCCTAAATTTTGTTGCTGTCACTAGCTGTGTAGAATAAAAACTTTCAATTTTTCATTCGTCTGTTGTTGTTCCTTATATAATATTTTCTGTTACTTTCCAACAGAGTCGGCTGCGCTGCCAACCGCTGTGCAATATGCTTACGGAATCCAGTCGTTATTATCTGAGACAATTATTATCTCAAAAATATATATTTCAAAGAAAAATTATCAAAAGAATGCCACTTGATGCGGGTCCTGTTTGAGAGATTGAGAAACTTGGTTACGCGTTGTTTTAACCAGCTTTCATTTAAGAGGGCTCAATTAACTCCCAGGTTTTGAACCCTATAATTATTTTGTACCATTCCTTTACTTTAATCCAGTTACAGCGATTGGCATAGCTCGTGGCACATTTCTGGAATACTCTGTCGCGACGGAGTGCAGCTTAAAATACGATACTGCAATGTTCTTTGCTTATATCACTCCACAGAACTGAGATTGCCTATGAGACGAATTTTTTTTTTTGCATTTTTTGGTTAATCGCCTTATTCAAAATTAGAAATAATCGATTTAAGCAATTAGCGAGTTCTCCTTGAACATTTTTTGTACATTGAAAGTACGATTTGGCGGCCAAAAAGTGTCTCCATCAAGCGCGCGGCCAAAACGATCATGTTACATCGTTGTGACGTAGAAAACTGTGAAGACACGTCGGCGACTATAGTGGAGAAAGGAGTAATCTGGAAGAGAGAACGAACGTAATGCGTGGCCGGAGAGCCAAATGATGTCAGCTACGAGAATAACAAACATATACAGTATATTTCTATGCAATACACTCCAAAGGATGTAGCTGTATGGATAATACGAACACATACCACTGGACAAATCAGGGGAAGATAACCGAAGAATTCAGCTTAAAAGAATGCTCATTAAGGGGCCTGTTTCCATACCGTAAACGATTGTTCATCACTATTTTCGGCTGACATGTCGCAAGCGAAGAATGGTGAGCTCCTTATTGTTCAGGTTTATTTCACGCGCTTGAGAAGTACTCATACTCTTTGTCTTTCCACATGACTACATTAGCGCTTTTCTTATCGTATGAAAATCCTACCAGTTGTAGTTTCCATCGTATTTTGTCACCAGGAATACATAATTTGTGATAAAGGTCAAGCTCTTTCCTGAACTGACCAATATCCTGTTGCGAGAACAGTGCGAAACCTTTGGCGGATACTGTCATAAACACAAGCTCGAAGGGGCCGTGTAAACTTGAATCAGATAAACTCACTCGTTTTCTGTCTGACCGGCTCCACGGCGACAGCCTCAGTCTTTGCAATCTTTGAGGAAAGGATAGGCTTGCGGTAAAAACTGCCCGATGACTTCTCGGCACAAAATCATCGTGCCTCGTGATACAGCCGATTCTTTCGTCAAAAGTTAGCTTGTGGTTTGCTAAAGCAATCACTCTAAAGCAACGAAAATCTAGAACACTGAGCAAGGGGAACCCTTGCCGCTCTTTGTGCGAAGGAATAAAATGTTGTCTACAAAAACGAACACAGCTACCCATTCTTAACATAGATTTCGCCATAGAAAACAAGACACAAACGCATCAAACTAAACATTCAGTGACGGGAGTTTTTTGTTCTAATCTTGACCTGAACACCGCACGCGAGAAACCGTCCTAGTCATTCTTCGTCGAAATCTTTGTTTGATGCACGCGGTTCTCCTTCGTAGGGCTGAACCGTACTCGCAACTTCCATTTCTTCTTTACTACTTGCGTACGATGTATCAAAACTCTCGGTAGAGCTTGCTGAAGGTAGGTATACATCACTATCGGACATTATTTCAAGGGTATTTCAACGCTGACCGATACAAAATTACAAGAGATGTGAGAGATTTGTGAGTGTCAACGGAGAGTTTTCACAGTTTTCTACGTCATCACTCGCTAATTCGTTACCAGTCGACGGGATGCTTGAAGACAAAATAAGTGCACTTTAGGGCCCGAAAAAACCGAGTTTTAAGTTTTTTGAAATCTTTATTCTATCGGAATTGGTTTGTATATATGACGAGCTGAATATTTACGCAAAAAAAAATTTCGTGTCACAGACACTTTAAACTACTCGCAATAAATGTTTTTAAGTAGACATCCTGCATTGCGAATAACATGAAAATGTTTACAGGAAAAGTGTATTCAAAGTATAAAATCTGTTTCTGGCATCCGGATAAAATCTCCTACAAAACTGAGGAAGAACTGATCCCTCTTCAAGCGGGCGACCAAAACTGCAATTTATTATTACAGGGAAAATAAGCCTCATGATGAAAAAATACTTGGTCTAAAAAGTAATGAGTTCCAATCACTTATCAACAACTGCTTGAGAAGAATTCTGAACATAACATGAACAGAGAGAAAAGCAAAAGAGGTGCTATGGGAAAGATCAGGACAGGAACCAATTCAATCACAAATCAGTCGGAGGGAGTGGCCGCACCTCGAGGAAACATCCCGACGGTGTTACGAGAGGTCTTAATGGGGATAACCGATAGTCGTAAAACGGCCAAAAAAATTTAGCCGATAGTCGTAAAATGAAACGAAATCCACAGAGCAAACGGACTAGAGAACAACCAAAAAACATCTGGGGGCGAGGTATTCTGGCTGGTATGAAGAATTGGGGCCAAAACTGAACCACACTTAAAACGCCAGCCCAGGGCAGGCCCAGGAGGAGGTGAAGGAGGGTGATGATCGATGGCCTATGCTCTGGGAAAAGCTTAGGGCATAACTAACTAAGTAACTAAAGAGTATGTTTTGAAAATTTCAAGTAAACAGTGCAACACCATATATTGGAAAAATAACAGTCGGAAGTTCTTCATAGTTACAGAAGTTTTTAAACCGAGGGTGTAAGATGCACTTCCCAGCCAGGGGAATGCCTTTTGCTCAGTGGCAGTCAGTGGCATCGTGTGGGCCAAATCCGAAGCTCTTGGGTTCGATTCTTCGTCGGGTACTCGGGTCTTTTCTTTGTTGCAGGCTCGTGACAAAACGATAGCACTTCTCTCTCTAGGTCCAATCTATGTGTGTTGGATTTTGAATTAAGTTTTCCCGGCTAAAACATTATGTGGATAAATAAAAATGTGAAATCACGAAAGAAATGATACCATTTGGGTGCTGGTATAAATTTCCTGTGTAGAAAGTTAAGAATATGTTAATTTTCTTCCGTAACTTTAAAAAGGATGTCTAATAATATAGTTTCCCCTTTGACGCTCAAGGTTATAGTTATAAATAGAATATTTCTTCAAAGTTCCTATTTTGGTAACCTTTTTTCCGCGAACTAGAAGTTTCGCTATTGTTTTTGTTATCGCCAAATTTAAGACCTGCAAAACAGTTAAAAACGTGAAGGTGTGTTTTAGTTTACTGGATGACATCAGATTATGATAACTACATTTCCATCCATGGACGTGTAACAACGGTGTACTAATGAAAAATGTGTGAGCACGAGTTTACGTCGCAAATGGTGCTGTGTTGTTAACTGCTATTGCCATTAAAATTTGCATGTTCAGGTAATGATTGCATCGCAAACATTACCGTAAATTACCACGTTTTCACGGCTTTCCTAGTGTATTCTATTACGCAGTGAGTTTTTAGTTCAAATCAGCACGCTTTGAAAGTGGTTTATGTTAAGCTTTAAAATACTGCACCATTTTTGATCGTGTTTTTCCAGCAAAAATACAATTGTCGTTTCACACATTTGAACAATAAAACTAAATTTGAAGTGTGCGCTGTAAATGCTAATAAACCCTTGTTATTGTTTGTTACGTGGCTACGCGGCGAACATGTCATTCACATGCAAATTGTAGTTTGTATTAAGTGCAGCTTGAGCCAACGGGAGTTGAGAAAACGTTACCGCATCGTTAGTCAATCACAAAAACATGAATAGTGGAGTGGAATATCTACGAGGAAATATGCCAGGCTGCTGTGACGAAGCAGAAATGGAGTGAAAAAGCTATGTGATGTTGTCGGTAGGATTGATGACAGAGTTGTTGTTAAGGATTCAAGCTTAGAAATGACGTCGGTAAATTTGGTTGTGTTTTTAGTTATTTCCTTCGAAGCAAAGCTGACGTTAAGTTTTGTAAAATGCCCACCTCCACAGAGCAATTGCGGAAACAATACGCGGATGAACAACAGTCGAGTTATCGACATTATTGACTGCGATCTTTTGAACATTTCCTGTGGCTCTGGCAAGGTCTGTCGACAAGGACATTGCGTTTACGTCGAGTCAAAGTCGGACAGTCAAGAAGGTCGGATTCCGTCGACTGACGTGTCAATGGAATACAAAACAGTAGCGGAGACTACGATCTCTACAGGGTCAAACGGAATTGGGAAACCAACTTCCACGAGCCACAGTTTGCTCTCAGGAAACCAAGAATTTGCTATCGCTCTTGTGGGATTTTCAATTCTATTTATAAATTTCTGCTTGATTTCGTTCTGCTTGGCCCGGGCAAAACAAAGGCGAAATCAACAGAGGCGCTCGGCAACGACACAAGGATCACAAACAGGGGAGGATTATTGGAATGAAAGTCACTTGACTGGACACGATACGTCGCAGGTTGAATTAAATATGGGAATTGATAATTTTGCACTCAATGGAGATTTGGATGGATTTTCAAACGGCTTTTATGTCCCTCACGCGCGCTTACCGCCTTACGATTTTTACTCGGCTTACGATAAACCTCGACCCAGATCGGAAGAAGGCGAAGATGACGAAGAAGCATTCGAACCTCCTCCCGATACTCAAAGCATTAACGAGGAACCTCCTCCGTACAGCGATCAGCGGTACGGAAATACGTCCAACCCGCCAAGCTACGAAGATGTTTTAAAGGTAGCGGTGTCCAACATTGAGGAAAGTTCCTCAGGATTATGATTTAAAGACAAACTTGAATCATGTGCAACAAAGGCATGTACAGAAGGAACGTGTAAATTAGAGAGTAAAAATTAGTATTTCATGTCAGAACGAGAAATAACAGTTTTGAGTGGTAATCCCTTTGAAGCAGATAGAAACCAGTCTATATTTCCTTATAACATTTAACCGGGAAGGCCAATCCGGACACTTGAGTGAATCAACCACAAGTGGCTTTTAAGAGGACGATGTATTGAATAAGCCTGTACATACATGAATCCATCGTCTGGAACCACAAGAAATATAGAAAAAAAACCGTAATTACTTCTTTGCAACTTATGTACGTGTTTTGGATCAGTTAATTAGTGTGAATATTTCTCTGTTCCTAAATAGACGAACACAATAGATCGCGTCAGACTTCCGCCGTACACACTAGGTATCCAGTGTAAATCACGTAGGCTGCATGAAAAGTCACTATGGATCTAAAGATGATAAGTGATTGTTTTGACACGTTGAGTGATGAGGTACTCTTGAATATTGCTTGAGCCAAGTTTTCTCACATCGTTTGCCAGATTCATGACAAGAATTACAACACGATAAATAATTTGCGGCAGGAAGCGATTCTTTCATTCCTTTAATTGTTTGCAGCTGTCCAAATAAAAGATACTGTAGAGGATAATCTGATTGTGTAAGCAATGAACACCGTAAATGATATTTTAAAACTCATCAAAAGATCCCCTGAAATTTTGGCTTTGTTTATCTTGTCGCAACGTTAACACGGCAAAATTTTGTCTCCTTGTGTAAATTTACAAGGGCAGAAAACTTTGATATTACAGAGCACGTTTTTGTTCCATTGAAGAAACTTAGTCTAAGAATACATACGACAGGGCTTCTTGCGTCGTTTTTTTTCGTTTTTAACTGGTGATCAGATCCAAGTTTTTGCCTTCGCTTGCCCAATATCACTAACGCCCTCAGTCTGTTGTTCTCTGACTTTACTCACTAGAATTTCCGTTGAATTCTTCCCAGAGCTATTAACGTCTTCTTATCAATGACAATCATTTCTCCTGATATGCAGCTTTTTTCTTTATCCCCTCAGTCACCGTGTCCGATTCTTGCTGACGTCATTTTCTTTATCATCACAGACATATCTGAAAGAATAGCCCTCATGACTGACCAGCCATTCCTCAGGCACTAAAGAGTTTAGAGTTTTTGGGCTAATGGGATCGAGTCGCCTTCTTTCCACGGAATCCTTTTTCTTTTTGGTTCGAAGCAAACGGTTCCTCGCACTTTGTTGTAATCAGTATAATGTAGGTTTCGCATCTGTTCTTTATCTGATCTTGTTTTGGTAATTTAATTTTTGAAATTAACGGTGTTAATGGTAATAATTGCATCGGTGAGCCCGGAGGGTAAAGACAAATCCAGGCGCCTACTCGGCCATTTTTCCTCGATGTTATCTAGCAAATTTTTCCACTAGATCGACCTTCTTAAGCAAATTTCAATCACCTCTGAGTTGAATAACACCTCAGCTTCTGCAGCCTCAAAGACAAACTTGCATTTCAGCGGGAAACCGCACTCCATCTGTTATCTAACACGAGCCGAAGTATCATTTCGGTCAGATGTTATTCGCACACTTCAGCGAAATAATACCAAAACTGGCCTAGGTCAAAACCAGCACTTATACCGCAAGCATTTACATCCGATTTTCTCGAGGGCTGTCTAAATTGGTTAGTCAGAGAAGAAGGGTGGTTGTCTTTACACCTTACTTACACGTGCGCTCTTAGTTTTGGATTTGAGTTTTGATGACGAGTCCAACATCAGGTAGTCAATCCTTGACTTTCCGCCTAATGACGTTGTTAAATTGTTTATAAACCAACAAATTAAAGCTAGTGTAAGCCCTGAGGATGCATTGACTCACTCTATGTAAACATATTATTCAAACACCGCCTTCAAAGCTAACCATCTCGTTGACAACCATAATCTTATCCGGCGCCATGTTTGTGCATTATCGCTGCAAAGAGGAAAATAACCTGAGAAAGCCGGCCGAAATGAATGCCATGATATGTGAATGTTTCCAAATAGCCAATCATCTGTTGTATGGTACTGATCTGCTGACATACAAGCCCTCCTCAAGACCCTACTCACGTCTCTGGGTATTAAGTTCATTATTCTTTTTATCAGCGTGAAGTGTCATGTAAACAGCGAATTGTTTTCACAAAGAGAGCTTTTATTCTGGTCAAATGATAACTAGATTCTTAAGGTGAAAAATGGACGCACATGTCATTGTCACGAGATGGAAGCGACTCACGGTGTCAATGTTTGTGGTTGGGGGGTTTTCTTCATGGATGCTTCCCTTTGCTTTTTGCGAGAAAAATGCCACGGAGCAAGCAGCTTGTGCGGCGTGTGAGCTGACTGAAAAGCACAAGTTGTACAACTGGTTGGTTCTCAGTGTCGTGTTGGTATTACTCGTGTTGCTGCTTATGTTAGTCGGGTTTCTCTGTCACAGATTATGGCCACGCGATCCATCGAGGTTGTCAAGAGTTGTTCGTAGGTACGAGCATCCCGGACAAGGTGTTCTATCAGATCTAACGCAAGTCTCTTCACAGTCGAGCTCATGATAATAAGCAATCTCAACTATTAAGACCTACTATAGACTTGGGAGCCGGGCGCACGACAACGGAATGCGATAAAGCATGGCTGACTATAGACAGTCTGGTCAGAGAATGTGTGACATGGGCGTAATAGAGTGGAGAGCCTAAAAATGCATCTAGCGCGAAATGAAATCGAAAAAAGTCTTCCGTGCTGAAGCTCTCAGTGGTTTAAAATTTTGAAAGCAACCGGATTATCATCTTCCCTTGATATTTGACCGCTTAAAGCTGCCTAGAGCTCAATGAAAACCACAAAAATTTCTCTGGCTAATTCTCTAGGATGTCAGCTTGACGACAAGAGGGCAAATTTAGAAACAAGTTTCAGTTTTAGCCCTAAGTGACATAATTTGCAACCTTGTCACTTCAGCAAAGTAAATCCGACTCTTTGTGAAACGTCAATGGTTGAATAACCCAGATCATAATTTGGAATTTTTTTTATCATCAAGCAATCGTAACCTTTGGACGAATCGTCGAACAAGTATGCAGAACTTTTTCACGTTGAGTCACGGCGAGGTGGATACGCACATATTTATGGTGTTCTGTTACGGCCGATGGACACTGATTTCTATTGAGAGAAGGTCTCCGCCTTGAACCATCAGCGGAGAAGTACTAGCGACCGCGATTCGAAATGGGTGACCACCGTTTTAAAAAGTGTAAAAAGTACTATAAACAGTCGTGAATGTGCACAGTTTTACGTGACATACCTTGCATACTATACACAAATTTCCTGAAGAATAGGGATTTTAATTATGAAAATATGCATTTAGAATGTTGCACACTCAGGTCGTAGTTGTATGACCAAACTTTCTAAACATGGCGATACTGATCTGTGCAAGATATTTACAGCGCCCTTTTAGTTGCTTTTCTTCATGGAAAGTTGACCTTGGAAAAAAGTCCCTCTTACATTAAGTTATTGATCATGAGTGAAACACTAATCAAACGCGACTCCTTACTTGACTTGCTGATCGTAAATGAGCGCTCAAAGAAATGTAGTGGAGGGTATTGGAGTGAAGCGGTGATGAATGATCGTCGAAATTCTCAGCATATTGCATCATGAAATTTTTAACTTCTAATACTGCAATCCTGCTTGGTTCACGCAACTCCGGTTATCGGCTCTTTTTTCGTGTCCACTTGTATGAATGTTTTGCGCCAACTTTTGCGGAGCTAAGGGTATCCAAACATTCAGGATTTAAAGAAATTTAATAAAACAACTATTCCATTCGCGCTCGTTGGAAACAAGATTAGTTATAGCCAAGTCGGCGCTATGCGTCGCGTTTGTTTACCATCTTATATCCGAAGCGCACTCCTGGAATAGTTTTTGAATATTAAAAACTGGATCATTTGATAATGTAATTCAAAAGTTTTCATTATGAGTTTCCATCGTGGATTATGTACAATTATACAATGTGCGCGCATGAAGACGAGTTAAAGCGAAAGTGTTTTTTTGTACATTGAACATTCTGTTTGTTCTTACAAAATAAAGTTGGGAAGAGTTATCTATATTTTTGGGCGTTTTTTAATAAACCAGTTAGGATCAATATCAGTAGCTGGGCAACTGCCCACCTATCCCTGCCCCTTCCCTAACCTAACAGTGGATCAATATCAGTGTTGGTCACAGCGAATGGTGAAGGGCTAACGCTCGAAACGTCAGCTTTTAAACTCTTTACGGTGGCCTGTTTACGTTATCAACTCAGTTTATAATTCTAAGTTACCCTATGAAATAGAGTTTTAAAAAGCGAGCAGCTGGCTGTCGAGAGTAGTTGTTACATAGGATGCCGCTTAATGGTCCAAATTCGGTTGGCGTTGCGTGACTACTTTGATTTAATGAGAATTTTAAAATGGCGGTCAGCAGACCGAACTCTGTTTATAAGAGCAAAACAGGACTGTTCTTTGTTAGAGACCCCATCGAAAAGAGGAGTAATTCTTCCCAGTGATTTCGTTAAAGAATCTCAAGCTCAAGGAACGATAAGTTCTGCTTGAATAGCTATTCATAGTATTCATGTACTTCGCCGTGAAAAGATAACTCAAATCGGAACAAATATCCGAAAGGATTTTGGATTTTTTTTTTCGTTCAGGACTTTGAACCTTTCGATTCTTTTGTCGATTGTGCTGTTAACTCTATTCCGGTATGTCTGAAGTCGTTCAAACTATCTTCATTGTTTTGGTCATCGTGCTTTTCGCCATCGTAATTGGTTGTTGTTGTCACATAACTGCTCAGAAGCGAAGAGGAGAAATCGCTGCGAGGCGAAGGACCACGCAACAAGGTGAAGTTCAACCTTCTGGTTATACAAATCAAAGCGAGACAGGTTCTATTTTCATCTTAAGACTGCGGGGAGCTAGTTCAACTTCAGACTCGACTAGAACTGGACATCAACGGTCATCGAGCGTGGCTGAAGATGTTAGTCAGAATCACGACGAAAGTCCAAGAAGCCCTGATGCTATCGCAGACAGTGGCCCACCACCGTACATAGCGGTTTCAAATGAACCTCCGCCACCAAGCTATGAGGAAGCCGTTAGGGTTTCCCAAGAGAATTTAGCCATGTGACGTGGACAGTACGGGTAGGGTTGCTCTGAAATGATGACCGACATTGGTAATAGGAAGGAAATTCTAAGAATTTTCGGAGAATTGATTGTGTTTGGCAATTGAACATCATCGAACACGTAACCTATAATAAGACCGTTTAAATTATTTAAGTCCGATATAATATTCCAAAGCGGTTGTTAATCTTTCTAGTCGCTATCAAAGGTTGGAGAAAAATCTTAGTGCTTTCGACACAACAGTGGTTGAATTTTATATCGCCGAACGGTAGCATTCGATTAAGTCTCGCTAACGCTTCGTCGAAGTCCGCGAGATTCGTCCGAGCTTGCGAGAAATCTGCGAGGGTTCTGGCAGGAAACATTTTCGCGTCAGAACACACGCAGACCTCACACGTCTCGCACGCTCGCATCGCTCGCATCGCTCGCATCGCTCAGTGGCTGGAAAGCTGCGTGTCTCGCCGCAATGAAAGCCTTCTCGCTGGCTAAACCACGGGAGAGTCGTTCTGTTTGTCTACAACCCCTGTAATGTTGCGTTGAAACATTTCGTCGATTTTTCTTGTAATAACCAACAGTGACAACGGAAAAGGTGGAAAATTGCTTGACATTTCTGCGTAAGGTTGATTCTGTATTTAAGTTAACCACTTAAGTAGTAAGAAGAGAACTGCAACTGAACTTGCCAGCTGGTTTTTTGTTTACTAAAGCATATGTATTCATGCTCTTGATATGCTCTGGGACATTTTCCATTTCATCCGTATTTGTAAGTAAATATCATTATTTTGGAAACTTGAAAAAGCTTTGATTTAAAAATTTGAAGGTGAGCTCCACACGTTGTCATTTGCAAAGTAGTTGACACTTCAACTTCAGCTGCCTCCACTGTCGTAGTTATTGTTGTTGTCCCGATTGGTTTTGTCACGCAATATACTCTGGAAGTGAGAGTGTTGCGTGACTAGAACAAGAATCGAAGCGAGGGGACGGGGAACTCTGAGTCTTGCAGTTTGTGATCGAAGGACTCATAGACAACTTTTCTACACTCTGTCTCAACATTGAACTCGCATATTCTTAAATTGTTGAATTTTCCCCTCATTCTGCAACCAATGGATTTGCCTATTTGCTCAAGCCAGTCTCTAATTGATATCTGTTTACATTAGATTTTGAACGTGCGTATTTGTGACTGCAGGTGGCGGGAATGTGTTTTCGATAACTTACTTGTTTTTTGTTGGAAATCACATTCAGTGGGAAATCACATTCAGTGGTCAAATTATTATAAGCTATGAAACATCAGGTGCTCATTTTTCAAATAGTTTCGGAAAAACAGTGCAACAATTTAAAATAAACATGACCAGCATTTACATAAATTACCAATCGTGACTTCGTAATCAAGATGGCGGCTATCATATCAATTTACAGTAGTTACGATCGACATTGAGACGGCGTTGAAAACTGAAAAAGTGCGCCGGACTTTTCACTGGAAGTTAAGTTTGGGTCAACAACTTCTTGAGAAAAACATTTGATACTTCGATTGATTAACAAGGGAGAATACGAGAGACTAGATTGGTAAGCAAAGGGTTCAGAACGGATTGAGAACCAGCTGTGATAGTGATCAAAGTCTTTCGAAATGAATTAAAGAAAAATTGAAGAAGATGTCTAACCTCCATCTTGGATATTGTACTCAAAGTGTGCCCTTAAAGAGTTCGCTTTAAACTTCAGTCGGTATGGCCGATATCGGCCAAGCTTTTGTCATTGTTTTGATTGTTGTGGTCGCCATTGTAATTGGATTTTGTTGTCATTTTGCTTCGCTAAAGCGAAGAGACCAAGAACGTGCTGCCAATCTTAGAGCATCGCAGCAAGCGGCTGGACCTACTGCAAACCACAACGAAAGCACAGGTCCTGTATACTTATTTGGATTGCAAGGTGCTACTGGAACTTCGAATTCAACTGGTGCTGCTGGCGGAGAGTCGCATTCAGCTGAAGATCGAGCCGAAGTGAGTGTGCCTACGAGCCCTGATGCTATTGCAGACTGCGGTCCCCCGTCTTACAGATGTTTAGCAGCTTCAGATGAGTTGCCTCCACCAAGCTATGAAGAAGCCATGAGAGCTTCTACCGAGGATATAGCCGGGACATGACTGAAAGTCTCGTATCAACATAAATGGGCAACTTGTTCACAATTTTGGGAAATATTTAGCTAAGGAAGTCGAAGGTTATCGCTTCTCGTGTCACACCTTTACCAATTTACAATGTCGTAAAGTTTTTATAAAGCGGGATATTTATGCCAATATTTTCTTATTTTACAGGTTCGGGAGTATATTCTTCGAACAGAGAAAATCATTTAACAAAGAGAGCATATTATAGCAATTATAATATTATGTTTATTTAGATTGTATGTGTATGGTAGTGTAAGATTTAAGTCAAGATTTGTTTTGACTTCGATTTCCGGTCGATTGAGGCGTGATGGAAGTTTGGCGACCACGTTATGAAGTTTGTTGTCACGGTTAACTGACTCTGTTTCCATTGAATCATTCCTCTGGCGGGTTTTCATGTTTGACGGTTGGTGACTCACGGCTCTTAAGATTCGGTTAACATAGGAAACGAGCAAGGTTACCCGAGTAATACCGCTATTTTACTCTCAAAAGTCTGTCACCGACTTTTTCCGCGCCGCACGTAACTGATGATCGTAGCAACAACTTTCCTCAAAGTAAATTTTCATTACGGCTGAAGTCGCAAAGCTGTACGCGGTATGGACAAGACATTACGCAACTCACTTCGGTTACGCAATCTGTCGCATCGCAGCTATCGGGAAGTGGTTTGAAATGGTGTAACTGTGGAGCATCTCAGTCACGAGATTTTTGAACAAAAACAAGCAAGAAGAGAGAAATTAAAGTTTTCCTCAACGCAAGGTTTTAAGAAGAAAATATCAGTCATTCAATCAATCAGTCAAGGAATCGATCAATTAATCAACCTGTCAAGTTACGATCGTTTTTCCGCTGACAGGCATTCTCTGCTGCAAGAACCTCCATTTCCAGCTCCATAAATGTTAAAATCATCCATTATATAACCGCTTAAGATGTACGTAATCAGCTCAAGGCTAAGGTTAATTACCATGATATGAGGAAAATGACGAGGGACAAATATAGGACTTTTTATACTCTTTATCCACTATATCTTCCCTCACACGTAAATGCAATGAAAAGTAAAGCTGTGTTTGATCAGAATGTGTCCCGTTTTTCTGAGAATTGAAGCATTAAAGGGATTCCTGTCTGAAAACAGTTAAATTACAAGGTGAAAGTCTGCACTAAATACTAAAAAATTAAAGACGCAGACAAGGAACACAGCAACCTGAAAACCAATATTCAAATGCGTAATAATCGAAAATTTACTGAAAAGTGTTCCAAACAATACTGATGACGTTGACAGAAGACTTTAAAACTAACGGAATGAATGCGGGATGTCATTTTACCGCAGAGGTTTACTGATACAGACACCTCACGAGGTTTACATTATAATGGTAACAAAATTTCGGATTTTATCAGATTCTGTTCGGTTCTAAGCACAAGTACACGACTTCAGGGTGTCAGATGGAATTTCCGAGCCGTTGTAATGGTGAGTTTCGTTGCAGTGATTACCAAAGCAAGGGATTACTTGTTCTTATATCCATGATACTTGTCTGAACGTGTGAATCGAAATCCGCGATTGTGGTCCACCAAAGACTTAAGATACTTATTCATATTCCGCGAGAATCAACTGTTTAATGTTGGTTTGGTTTCATGCTTCTACATAAAAAGAATCCGTTTAAGGTTGATTTAGCTGATTTACGTACCTTGTGAGACGGTCGAATAAGCATAGGTAGCGACCGTTGTCGTTTGCGCCAGGTCGCTGAAGTTATGCGGAATTAATTTGCCGGCCGTAACGCATGTTGTTAAGAAAAACAACATAGCGACTTACTCGTGCTCTTTTGATACGCTGGATATGCTAGGAAGAAGTAAATGAATGGAGGTTCCAACCACAACTGCGTTTTCGGAAATGTTCGTCTTCGTCTCAAAAACAAAACAAAGCAAAATATATTCACTACATTAGCGTTTTATTTTTGCTCTCATTTGTCCATACTTCTGCATTTTCTTTGAAAACGCGTACCTTTTGGTGCGATCTCGCCAACCACCCACATTTAAACGCCCCAAAACGGTAATGCCTTCGTAATGTCAGAATGTGACGTATCTTTCGGCATTCTCTCTGTTTTCATTTGTCCACGCTTGAGAGGAGCGTTTACAGCACGATGCACTTTCTAAACACACCGCTTTTGACACGATCCTCGAAACTCTTCGTATTCAAAAGCTTTTCGGGCGTTGATGTTAGATAAGAACGTGTCATCAAGCAGTTAAATAGCGTGTTTTTGAACGAAAACACTTGGATGGGGCGTGAGAGGCGTGGAAATCTGGGTAAAAGCAGGAGTCGTGTTACAAGACTTTAATTGGCCACTTCGTTGTTTACCTTTAACATTTGAGCGAGGAGAAGTCTGGATTACTGTGTTTCAACCCAAAACGATTGATATGGTGATCGATTGGCACGCTTCAACCGCTTCATCCCCAAACAGTTGCGTTTGACACCCCATAAGAAATAAACGTAAATTTATGCACTTTAGATTTCTACTTTATGAAACTTGCATATGAAAATATTAGATAATAACCAGCATCCACTTAGCTACGTTTGCAGAACGGTCCAAGGTTCGAGTCTCGTTCAAAGCTGAATTTCTTTTTCAGGCTATTTGTCCACAACTGCTTCAGTCTTTCTTCCTTTCTTCTATTCTTTCAGCTAGGTGAAACGATATATTATTGGATTGGAGCTTCCCTCGCAGTACTCTTCATGCTTCTCGTTTGTCATTGCATAAGACAAATGCAGGAAGACGAAGAAAATGACAACATTAACACCAATCTAAGAACTGTCAACACGAATGGAATTCAAAGGGAAGCAGAAATTCAACGAGATGGACAGGTGGAAAGGATGGTAATGAGTACAATGAACGACCCTTGGCAACATGAAGAAGCGTTTGATCAAATTTTTAATCCCGTTGCAGACAGTGCCCCTCGATCATATATTGAAGTCGAAGATGAGACGGAAGCACCTCCGCCAAGTTATGAAGAAGTTATGAGAGCTTCACAGGAGGCTCCTCATTCGAGAACACCGTCAAACGATCATCATGTTACCACGTATATTTAAATTTTATACGTGAAGGGTTCACGCGGCTGTTTCCCTGACAACCGTAACCGCTGTCAGTCGTTCACCCGCTCTTTCACTGGCCTTTACCGAACGAGGACTTGAGACTGGCTACCTCCACCAAACTGTGAGGAGCCCTTGAGGGCTTCCACAGCCATATCTTGTTTGTATGGTGGTATTGTTAATAAGACAAAAAAATAAATGGCGTTATGGAGTTTTTCATGTGTCATGCGCGATTTAAAGGCAAGTATTAATATGCTTACCATGAAACTTCTTTGAAAATGGAAGGTTATCCTAATCATAGCTGGTTGTAAAATACTTTTGCATTACAAGGGGCTAAAAGTTTTCGTCTGTTCAGACCGGAGCTATTTTCTCTGAAGAGGGGCAATAAGAGAGCATATTTTACCGAATGTACTCTTTGATACTTATTGTGTCTAGCCCATAGAAACTATGCACCTTGCATGAGCAGTAAGAGATTTAGTGGGTGATTCATATTGGACAACAAATGACGTATCGCTGTTATGGTTTCTGTGAAGTTTACCGTACGTGACAGACTACGTGAACTAAGCGATCATCGCGTAACACAACTATGACAAGAATACGTAACCAGTGACGTGGCGTAAAAACATCGATATTTTGTCGCAAGATCTGTCGTGATAAGTCGGAAATCCCTATTTGCTGAGCGAAACCCTTGGGTAAACAGCGAATTTTTAATGAATGGAAGATTTACATTTCGTCCATGCAAAAGGTCGTCATGAAATATTGCATCAACTCAAGTATCGTTTGGCTCTCCGTTTCGCGTTGCCCTTGCTTAGGAAAAAGAAAAACCTCCGGTCTGTTTCTGTGGGCGTATGTTTGGAAAGTTTTTGGACAGTTGTGAAGAGAAAAGGATAATTTCGTGCAAATTACCCCTTACAGTCCAAAAATAACTCGAGTGGAATCGATCAGATATTGCAGCCAATGCTCGGGATTTTCCCCCATGACTTCCTCATTTCTATTACTAGCTAATATGCATATCAAAGAACGTACGAGAATACCGTCCTTACGCGAATGAAAAGGAAAGTTCTACTTATTGTCAGATTCTGCTTTGTTTTTGCTTAAGCTCCAAAGGTTTTTAGTTCTGCAAATATTGTCAATTTGAAATGCTCAAGTAATGTTCTTTACTTGTTGGATGGAAATCGAACCAAATGTCGAAATTGATATGTGAAATTCTGAAAACCAATATTTAGATTTACATCAGCTTAGAACCAAATATTAAGATTGTTGCCAAAATATTGCGACGCCAACTGAATAATACCAGCTTGACTGACGAAAACAGGGTTCCATTTAGTCGTAAGAATACACTGATTGAGATCCTACCCTAGTTTTAAATGAGGATGGAAACCAAAATTCTAGTCTGGCAGATTCTATACTGTTTTATGCTCAATAACGCGACCTCAACTTGTAAATATGACAACAACTGTCATGGTGAGTCTCTTTCCTGTAATTACAGATTGAAAGGCGTATTAGATGAGCTCACATCTGTGATTCTTGTCCTATCGTTGGCATCATCAAATCAACGATTGCTTTCCACCAGAAACGAGAACAATTTCAAAGATTCTGTGCCATGAAATGTTACTGTCAAGGGACAAAAAAAATAAAAATCATGTATCGCATAATCACTTCCTAGCTTCCATTTGGATAAATTCGCAGACTCGAATCTAGTCTAAACCTGTATCTATTTTTAGCAGGCTTCACTTTCACAGGTACTTCAAAAAAAGGCGTGTATTATCTGGGATCATCTTTCCTCTATCACAGATCAAACACATTATGCTCATATGTTCCCTTGAATGTATTCATTCATCGTAGGTATCATTGCGAAATTAAACAATTTCCACTTCTCAGTCAATTGTTTTGAAAGCTCTATAAACATGTGCTAGAATACCTACAAGTTTGATTCGGAAAGTATCATTCAAATTTTTTTGAAGAAGAAGTGAAGCAGGTGTGCTGAAATTTAGGCAATTACATAAAGGAGGCCTTAAAAAAAACTAGATTTAGACAAGATTCGAACCTGTGCTTCCCAGATAGTGATGCGCGGTACCAACTGAGTTACGAAGCCACACGAAGGTTCTTCTTTCCCCTACTTGTTATGTAACTGTGGTGATCTTTTTTTCCAGCTGCTTTTAATGAGTGGTTTGTGAAAGTGCAGTGTCCTTTCTTCTTTTAAAACAGAATGTTATGAGGATCCAAGCTGTAACAGCGGGTATATGTGTGATGATGGGCACTGCATACCAGGTGGCAGAAGGGACACAACAGTGTCCCTCGTCTTTGGAGTTTTAATAGTTGTCATCGTTGTATTTCTCTGTTGTTGTTGTATAATGCTAAAAGATGAAGCACAAGGCAACAGAAAAATCACACCAAGAGTTGTCACAACGGATGCGGAAACTTCTAGGATGAGACACATTCAGCAAAATGAACAGATGGGAAGCAATGAAGTGAGTTCAGTGAACGAACTACCGCAACACGAAGAAGCTCGTAATCAAATTTCTGATACTATCGCTTACAGCTGTCTCCAATCTTACATTGACGACAGATATAACACTGAAGCACCTCCACCAAGTTATGAAGAAGTTATGGGGGCGTCATAGGGGGCTGTTCATTCAAGACCTCTGCCAAATCAGCAACATGTCACCATGATTATTCGAAGCTAAGAAGTAACCGCATAGACTAAGCTTTGTAGCTTATCATATCATACAGCTTAGCTGTATGATATGGCTCTGGAAAGCCCTTTCAACTGTTTCGTATTTTTGCCGGTTGTTTATTCAACTGATTTTCATTCGGCTTTTGGCTTTGTTATTTCAAGTCACTGTTAATCAATTTCGCATATTCATTTGTTGTTTAATTTGTTTTCAGTGAACCGTTAATAAAATAAACATTTTGATCCAGTCTATCCGAAGAGTTTTACTAATAATTTGGTCTCCATTGTCACACAAAGATGAACGAAGGTGTTAGCTACGAAAGAAAAGCAGCCACGCAATACGGATTTAGAACGGGTCAGGAATGTGGTAAATTACCCTCGTGTAAAAAAGTATACTCGGGTCAAATATAGAACTGTCTGTTTCATAGTATAATATTGCTGATATGCAAATAAACGAATCTTTTTCACCACGAATAGGCTATGCAAAGGAAAGCATGTTTTGAGAAAGAATATTTTGTCAATTTTTGTACTAAACGTCAAAATTTTAAAGGGAATCCTGTCTTTTAACTTATTTACAATTTGAAATACCCAGAATTAATTTACTTCCCCTTTGATTAAAAACCATACAACAGCATGCGTTGATATCTTTGATTCTGAAAACCAATATTCAGAAGTGCATCAGCTGAAAAACGAATATCTGAAAAATACTTCCTAAAATATGACCACAGTCTGCATAAGATCAGATACCGAAACGGCGAGAAAACAGATTCTATTTTGCTCTGAGGAAACACTGATCTAGAATATACCCTAACTGTACATGAGAATGGAAAGAAGAGTTCTTGTTTGCCAGATTTTGTACTGTCTTATGAACAAGTACGCCACCTTAGCGTGTAGTTACGACGAGGGCTGTTATGGTGAGTCTTTCTGCTGTAATCAGTAAAACAGAGACTGGCAACAACGTGGATCATTGAATGATCCACGTTTTAGCGTTTGTGTCTTCTAATCTACGATTGTCCTCTATTAAACACAAGTGACACGTCGAAAAATTATGCACCAAATGATGTTTCCCGTGGGATAGTACATAAAAATGAGATATTACATAAGAACCAGCTTCTGTTAAGTTTGATTTGAAGGTCCGTCAAGCCCGCCAAAGGTTCGACTCCCATTCAAACCTGAATTTTTTTTTAAAGGCTTTATTCATAGTCCCACAACTATACTGCAATTGTTGTCGTAAATGCAATCATATCTCTTTTATCAAGATCTTTATGTCGCAGCTCAAGTGTATGATGTTGTTTCATTCCCTTCATTGGTTTCTCTAATAACGGGTATCATTGCATTGGCCACTTCCCAGATGAATGGATAGCTCAGTAGTCATGTCTCAGATCCCTTAAGCTGTCTACATTAAATGAGTGTGTAACTACAATGTTCTTTCTTCGAAACAGAATGTTACCATAATTCACATTGTCCAAGTGGACACATCTGTCAAGATGGGTATTGCATTCGATTTGACACAAGCAATGATTCCTCCAAGATCTCGTTGTCAAGTAACACTATACTCAATGTGATTGGAGCTATCGCAGCCCTGATATTTCTCATTTGTTGTTGCGCGAGGCAACGACGAAATGAAAGAAATGATAACGTTAACACTACGCTTTCGATTGTCACCATGGATAGAAGTTCCACAGCAAGAAGCGTCCAGCAAAATAGGAATGTTCGAAGTGAGGGAATGAGCTCAGTGAACGAACAGCCGGAACGCGTAGAATCGCGCACACATCAAATCTCTTCTCTTGTCACAATTAGTGGCCCACAGTCATACAGTGAAGTTGGACATGAAACTGAAGCACCTCCACCAAGCTACGAAGAAGTCATGAGGGCTTCACCGGAGACTGTTATCCACGAACCCGCGAACAAGCAACGGCTTGTGGTCATGGAGATCTATGTTGGCACTCCCAAATAACGATTGGGAACTAAAATCCTTTTCTCCAACACTCCTTGGGCTTCCTTGGGCATTTGAATCTCGTGCTTGACGAAACATATGATTCGAGGTTTTAGTTGGTTCGCGTTATTACCCTGGCAGACGATTTTCTTCGGGATTTTCTGGAGGTCTCCTTCCCTCGGCAAAAATTAACTCTCTGAATTTGAATTCGACCTGAAAACAGTCGACGAGAGTAGCCTTACTGTTCACTGCGGTTTTGTCACTGGCGCTGGTTACTGCGTTTCTCTCAAAATGAAGAGCAGAAGATCGGATGCATATTACTGTACTTATCCAAGATATCATTAGGGACGAGACGTGGCTGCCTTATGTTCTTTGTTTATAGCTGTTCTCAAGAGATATCTTGCTGTTCTGTATATGTGAAATTGCCTTAAACAATTAGGTCTTTCAGCGAACGATAAATTTCTAGTTTTTTTTTTTTTTTTTTTTTTTTTTTTTTTACATTGACAGTTTTCAACCAGATTCTTCAAGGTGAAGGGAGCAAACGCATAAACTGCCCCAAGAAGAGGAACTATGAATCCCACAATAGTCAGCAGCCTGTCTTCTTTGAATTAATCTTATAGTGCGAACGAGGAAAGAGAGTCAAACAAACGAAACGCAAAACCCTGGAGTTGTTTTCACTTCGGTAATGGCCTGTCTTCTTTTATTTGACTAGAAAAATACAAAATTTAGCTCATGGAGTCCACTGTGAGCTCTGCACGCGTAACTTATGAAACACACCACTTTCCCATCTATGGGAGTAAAAGTAACGGGTTTTGGTCTGTTATTTAAGAAATCCTGTACGTGACCGTTAAATATTCTATATCAACTTCACAGCCATTTTATCGGCCAGTGACACAATTAATAAACAAGTATTGAACCTAACTACGTGATAAAATTTAGTGGAAAGGGAAAATGTCTGAATAACGAGTTTAGTCTGTTTCTCTTAGCTTTTGTGCAATTCAGTACCTGACCATTTAATATTCTTGTTCAACTTTATGGCTATTTTATCGACAAGTGACACTATTATTGGCATTATTTTAAAATAATGAATAATTATAAAATCTGACTTCGATTAAATCTTGTGGAAAGGGTAGATGTCAACCATGCGTTGGATCACAGTAGGGAGTCTGTGAAATCCAACCCTAGGGCGATGAATCTTTGTTTGAAGTCCTTTCTTAGGTGCTAAAAATGTGAATTTAGTGGTAGTAATCCTCCACTGTTTTTCCCATGTCGAATTGAAAAAAGAAAAGTACTTGTGGAACTTCTCGAGTTGTTTATTATTTTCAGTCAGCTATGGAATTAGACAAACGCTGTGTCATTCTTCGTGCAAAGTGTGACCGACTAACTATAGTCCAACTCTTAGCATTGACTAGACAACGGGGGAACATTTGTCTGGCTATGTTATCTTCTTTGATCCTCTCAACCTAATGGTTGACCCCAAAAAAATGTATGCAAATTTTTTTCCTTTGTCAGCCGCGGCGAAGCCGATTAGTGATAAAGAAAAATCTGACAAGTCTGCCCTGGAGCACACATTAAAAATACCAACAAATGTTTGTTCATGATGCCGAGATGAGGTGGTGTTTATGACCAAAATTGGAGATGTGAAGTGGCCCAAAAATCCGGAAAAACACAAACTATAAGCACGACCAGCTGTTGTATGAAAACTAATTATGATTGTTACAGAGCCGGTTAACCCTGCGGCCAAGTCGATTTAATAAAAAAGAAAATAAATAAACACATGGAGACAAAGCTAAATTTATAATTTCCTCAAAACATCGGCATTATTGTCCATTTGTTTTGACACTCTCCGCTAGTTTTAGCTATTAAGACATGCACTGAATCCCATTTCTAAACATTTGCTTAGCGATCGAAAATATAAACAAAGAACACGCACCACAGAACACTTACAAATTATGCATTATATTGTTAGAAATTGTATTGTCTTCGCAATTATTTTTCTTTTAATTTGCCACAAGGTGGAAAAGAGTTTTCCTCAAATGCTGAAGCCTATTGCTTGAATGAAAACGAACTTTCCAATTAAGCTTAAGAGCTTAACGAGAAATGCCTTGCTGAATAGACCTGATTTGGGTACTGCTTTGAAACGTATGGACTTTTGAAATTTCATCTTGTTCGTTCAGTCAAACGTTTCTTTAGAATTTCAAACCGAAGGTAAGGATATAGCGTGGATGAAATTATAGGTTGTAGGCTCCAAGCAGAAAGTCGGACCAGCGATTTTAGAGTTAGTAGCCAAAAAATCCATCGATGTTTGGCCTAAAGTCGCTTTTCATCGTCCAATACTGTTTCTTTACCGAGTGGAAACCAAGTAGGCGGGAATATTGAGTTTGTTGTGGTCGGTGCGAACAAAACAGTTGTTTCAAGCGGAACGAGATAGCGTAGCCAAGGCAAACAGAAATTAGAGAAATATGCTTATACTTTACAATGGGAAGTGCGTGATTCTCCCCAGCAATACGTGCCCGTACACGTCATTTGAAACCTTCTGACTTAATCACTTGTCAAGTTGGCATCCATCAAACGCAAATCTATTGAGCGCGAATTGAACGCTTCGACGGATCTGTCTTGAATTATCAATTCCCGATACAAATGCGGTTTTCCATCCATTTGGCGTCCGCAGTGCCTCGGACAGACATGTGTAAAGTCATCCTGAGATTGGCGAATATCGCCGATTAGAAGTTATTATTTAAGGTGACATCGTGCTTCCGAAACCCATTTTGAGACAACAACAGTAGAACAGCGCTGATTGATAAGCACATTATATTTGCATATCTATTATTTCCTGTTATTAACACCTGCGAGTCGTGCTCGTGGCATTGTTACCACTTGTCGAGGTAGTGTGTAAATGAGCAAAGTTCCGAGTGTGTTTACCAAAACGAATAACTTCACCATCTTTATGGGGGGACCAAAACAGAGCAGTTTGATCTCGCAACATGAAGAGGTGTATTAAAGTGACAGTCTTTTTCCAAGTCCTGTTGTCGATGGTATGTGAAGTTGCACTGGATTCATTGCCTACCTGTTCCGAAGACCACAAATGCCCTAACTCGCAAACATGTTGCGGTAACGTTTGCGTCGGAGTTTGCAAAATTGAGTGTCAAGAACAGGCGGATTGCGATAACTTGGCAGACAACCTCGGATGCATCAATGGATTCTGTGAGTGTCTTCAGTCGTTACCTTGTTTCAACAGATCAATGTCTCATAACGATTTTGAGTCAAGTCGGCGTTGTGTAACAGATTTTGAATGTTCGAAACCTGCCAAATGTCGCAACGGAAGCTGCGTAACAAATAATAAACCCTCAAAATTGAACCCGGCACTATTGGCAATTGTAACAATCATCGGCGTGCTCATATTCTCTTGCCTTTTCTGCTGTTGTTTGAGCAGAATGAAAAGTGAAAGGCATTCTATGAAAACACGAGTTGCCAAAGGCAAATTAAAGAGAGTTCACCACCTTGGCGAAGACGCCGATAGCGCGGCAAAAAACGCTTTGGTAGGTGCTGAAAGTGAGGCTTTCCCGGTCAAAGAAGGGAAAGATTCAAAAGAACTTGATGCAGAAGACGAAGCTTTAATTTCTATTATAACCGGCGGACCTGCTTTGGCTCCAATTCGCGAGGAAGACGAAGAAGACGACGAAGCAGAGAAGGCTTAGAAAACGACGTGAAAACAGCTGTGTTTACCTGGCTGGTGGAAATAATTATTGCGCCGTCAAAAAGAGCTGAAAACTCACTTGATTAGTTGCCTTCAACGGCGAAACGCGATTAACGTCGATGGAAAGCAATAAACCGAGAAAATCTAGAGTTTCAGGCATGAAAAGCTCGTAACAATCATATTTCCGTGCGAATTAGCACGTTATTGATTAAAACTCACACTGTTGGTTAATAACGCAGCTTTTTTTTTGTGCCTGTGGTTCTCGAGGATGGTTTCGATAAAAATCAACGTACGCAAAGGTAGATATTGCATGTTATTATGCCGTGTTTTTTAATCAATTTCCAAACCACGAAGCTCTTAAATCTGCGATTTAAACCTGCGGTTATCATTTGAAGTAAGAGTCGGCCGTTTAGCGCAACACAGAAGTGAAACTTGTCGAAATCATTAATCTTCATCTATTTTTATATTTTCATTTGGTTTACAAACTAGAACTTTCTTTTGACATGATAATGAATTAGGCGACTGATAAGTCCAGCGTTATCGCACGCAGCCTCGGAAAAGATTATAAAACTAGTATAGATAAATAAATTGGTGAACATGCCAAGACTGCCAAGTTTTGTTGCTTATACCATCAGCTGTTACAGAAAGGAAAATAATGAAAGAGAAATTGGGAATAATTTATCACGGACGCGCCAACAGATTAGAGTTTCCATTTCAATAATAATACAGGTGTCCTAAAAAGAAAATGAAAATGCCTTACAACTTGATCAAATCAGGTTATAAAAGAAAAGTATTATAACGACGAAAGCGTGTACGATTTCTTCAAAGGCAGACTCCAGAATCTGCATACAAGTAATAAATTCGAAACTCGGTAACCGGAGCTTAGATCCCTGTTTGAGTTCAGTAGATTGCTGGTTACGACCGATTTAAATTAAAAGCATCGCTTTAGAAAAAATTTAGTTGTTTTTCAGAAATGTATTTCTATATTCGCTCGTAAGGGGCCAATATTTCGCCTCTAATATAAGTACATATTACGCCATGAAGCTTAGCTCAGTATGCCACAGATGAAGTCATAAATTTCTCAAAATTATATTTGTATGACAATGAATAAAATTTTCATCTTGAGCATTTTAAAAAATATCTAGTGATTATTTAGCGCTGTTGTGACAAAACGTAAACAATGTAGCTCTAAAAACACTCCAGAAATGTATAATCGTATTTAGAGCCGGTTAGAAGAGGAAAGATGTCTTTTGGCGTTGATCTTGGTTTAAGAGTCTGCTAACCACAGAACCACAGAAAATCTTCAGTTTTCAGTTTGCTCAGGCCGGCAAACTAGGAGGCGAAGGCTGTGAATGAGTTTTTCAGATCTCAAGAGTCCCAATTAAATAATTGATCCGACTAAACACAGTATTTCAGCTTGCGTGATGCCATGCTGCTTATTACGGCCCAACTTGGAGAGTTACCAATCCGTGTTTAGTCGCGCACGTTTCTCCCGAATGTTTTTGCCAAAATTAATGCGTGGGTTTCTAGATGCACTCCAAATTTATATAGTGTCTGGGTTAGTTCGCGCGCGTGTAGCGGAATGATCCGTGGACTCACGATTTGCCATAATCACGTCTACTTGCAGTTTCTTGAGTCATGAAGGATGCTTACAAACGGATTAGTCATATTCGCCATCACCATTGACATGGTTGAAATAGGTTTTATTTCATACATACTGAGATTTACACATCAATAAAAAGCCCGCGTAAAATTCGTACGAAATATCCAACCAACCAATCAGAACAGCGAGCAACTATGAAAATACATCGTTCGTCCAATCAAAGACACGAATGATAGTTCTTCACAGTAGAGGACAACTAGCGCTCGGCTTCCTGAAAAAACAAAATGGAAGAAGAGATGCCAAGATTTTCTCGTCTTAAAAGAACAAGAAATGACTTCATAGATGAGCAAGAAAACAAAAACACAAGAGGAAAGACCAACAGGGACGTATGCCCGCTAAAAACCTTTCTTGAAAGGGAAGGTAGAGCTCAGGAACGTTGAAGAAATACCTCTAGCTCAACTCAATGAATTGCTGAGCAAGTGCGTGCTCACTGTTAGAACCAAAGATGGAGATGACTACAACCCCACACCATTACGGGGAGTGATTGTCAGCTTTGAACGATATCTCAAACAGAAAAAAAAACTATGAAGCTAGTATCATCAATGATTTAGCGTTTGAGAAAACTCGCAGGTTTGCTAAGCCGAGGTTGTCCAATTTTATTTGCAAGTTTTCATACGTCATAATTGTAAGCATCTGCGATTCGAGATGCCATTCATTGATTGAATTTTAAAAATATGAATTATCTATGTTTCTTTTTCAAAAGTAAAGAATCTCCGTTGGCAAATTAGTGTAAAAACAAATAACAAAATACAAAATATATATAGTTGTCAACTGAGACTAAATATCGCGCCACCTTTCGTGTTTGGTGGTGTTTATAATAAATTGCTTCCAATCTTTCAAGTGTGTCGTTCTGTAGGAGAAAATGGTAGTGTGTATGCAATAAAAGCATCATACCATGGAAAGTGCTTGAATAATTTTTGTCCACTCGTTGCCATGCACCAATAAACCCTCTAGTTCGTTTTCTTGATGCATTGAAACTCGTAAACAAAACTGATCGATCCGTGTAAGTAAGTGAGTGAAACCTTAATTTACACACGATGGGGTTGAAGCTTCGCAGCTTGTGGGATCGTGATGTAATAAACCATAGTTAAAAAGAAATAACATCTGATGCACACATAGGTAGGTTTTTGAAAAACCTACATTTTTGTGAAAATGCAAACATTTTACAACTTAAGATCCTATCTGATCAATGCATCAAGCAATAATAATAATAATAAGTATTGTAACAAGAGATTACAAACTCTTTGTAATAGTAATCATGATTTGATTAATTAACAATATCAATAAGCAAAAAACGTCCCATGACGCACTAGCTCTGGCAGCGGACGTTGGAAAAGTCATGTTCGTGATCAAGTTTAACTTTTGAGTCATTTTGAAGAAGCTCCCTAAACTAACTGCGGTACAGCATTCGTTCAGCGAGAGATTTCACAGAATGCACCCCTATATAGAATGAGTAATTTTTTGGTGTTCGATTCTCAAGTTGGGATGACAAGCATAAGGTTATTTCTTGATATTGTATGAAGGTTATGCAACAAGGGGCTTCCCCAAAACGTAAGAGTCTACACGATGTCTCTAATCACCTACACCATGGTTATTTACCACAATTGAAATGACACAATGAGTTTGAAGGAAAAGGATATGAAATTTTAATCAATAATCTTCAAAAATAGTGTGGTGTACCCTTCCTTTTTTTACGGTATATAAAGGCTTGGAACTCAAGTTTCCGGGCGTATTGCCGCGGAATCGAAAACTTTACTGTTTCGCTGTCGAGAGGAGATTCGATGATCCGCGGTAAATTTATCTGTCAAGTGTTAGGCATGGGTTCTAGGCCTACTCGCACCAGATCCCGACGGGAAGCTAACGATAGCATCCAGGGTTGTGCGAGTGTTGTACATTGTACTAAAGCGCCATGTACTCTGGTTTCAGTGTTATAACTTGTTTGGCATTTCTCCAGAGCCTTCTCAAACTGGAACTATTTGCCCTTGCTTGTACTGAAAACTTTGAATGTGATCAAAAAAACTCGTCGGCAGGGATCATTTGTTGTTCAAGTGCTTGCAAACCATGGTGGAATTGTCCCGATGCTTGCATCTCGGACGATACTTGCAATGGTGGAAAGATTTGTTATCGTAATCGCTGTGAGAATCCGGATATCAGTTTTCCAGCGTTTTGTAGCTATAATACAGACTGTCCTGAAGATGAAGAATGCGAATCTGGTCAATGCAAGCCAGCTCCGCGACCTGTTACTCCTGAAAATTCAGAGAATGTTCAAGTAAGCTTTCATTTTGATCAACGCATATTCGTCATAGTTGGAACCGTTTTCGGTGTCTTGATCTTTGTTGTCGCTGTTAGTTATGGTTCGTATCGCTGTTACAAAAAGCGTAGGAGACAAAGATTTTCCCGAGGAGTTTATTCTGCGTCTACCCAGGTGGGCCATGGTGTAAATTTATTTTCACCTCCACGTAACGGAGTTGAAACGTTTGCGTTGAACAGAACCAGTCCGACATTAAATCCAATTGTTGGCTTTTCTCGTCCTCAAATACCGCCTCCTGCTTATGATGCAGTCACACTAGACAGTAGTTTGGACGTGGAATCTTCATCACCGCCACCTTATGATGATCTAGTCGGTGGAAGTGCTGCGAGAGTTTGCGACGAAGAACAGGTAAATCTTAAGATCTGTTCAGCAATTCTCCGTTAGAACCGCTGTGCATTTCTTCTTAATCTAAGAAAGAAAATTTTTAGTTATGTAAATGGGGTCTACGAAGGTAATTTGTTATTATCAACTGAGTTGATTGCGTAAATTGGTCACCGTTAAGAGTTTCAAAGCTACTCTCCCGCCGATGTAGCACCACAGTTTCTTTAGAAACTTACTCCTTTATTAATGAAATATAGTGTGCCCGATATATTTGTTTAATTGTATCCCCCTATGTGCAGGGAATTTGATATTATTGTAATTAATATACATAAAAATTTCTCCTTTCTGGTTGAAAGAAATGTAGTTTCTAGGCAACACAAAGATGCTGTACAGAAGATAGTTGATTCATTGTATAAAAGGCAACAAACTATTTAGCTGGGTTTAAAACGTTTTTTGCACTTTCAAAACTCAAAAATCGTTAAGAATATTTTTGCTTTAGTTAGATATAGAAGGCACAATGATATATGCAGGGTTTAAATGATTATTTTTATATGTTAATTATTGAAAGCTATCTCAAAAATTCATGGGTAAATCATTAGTAACTGATCTCATGACTTGGTGGATAATATGTGTTGATTTGTTTATTTGAGATGTGTAATAGTTTTACCTATAGTTACTTTTTGGTCACTCTTGGAATTGAAAGAGTTGAAGTGCACAAGACAACCCTATCAGCTACTTTGATGTAGATCTATGGTGTTTACTATTAACTCCCAAGATTTGATTGTTAATTGTCCCCTCTAGCTGCTACACATTTCCTTGATAATTTTTACAAGAATTTGGTGTTTGATGAAGGTAATATCTTCTACCTGATGAGTTTGAGTATTCTCAATACCTGTTTGCTGGATAATGCATAGATATTATAGGGAGATGTGACATGTAAATCACTTCTGAGAGGTAAAGGGTTAACCAAATTCTCTTTCAACTAATTCACAAGGAAATGTGAAGAAATAAAAGGGAAGAATTACTCTTTAGATATTGTGTGATTTTATAATTTATTTAGTTTTCTTGGGTTGAAATTAAGATCAACTGTTTTCTTTATAGGTATAGCAACTCTGCATCAAGCTTTGGGAAAAGTTTTTGTAAGACAACATCATCTTCTGAAGATTCTTATTTTTACAACTCCACTTCTGTGGATACTATACAGATCTACTTCCTCAAATTATCTGTTCAGTTATTTTTAATTCTTAAACATGTATGTTACCTTTCTTTTTAGCAGCATATGATGTTGAACCTTTGAAATTTGGCTTTTGAGATGAAATTACTGATTTCTTCACTTCTACATAATTTTGCAAAGCTTTTATAAGTTTCTGATATTTATTTATTTAGCTTGGGAGGCTGAGGTGTTGTACACTGAGTGTTGGAGATATTGGATAGAAATCTGTTTCACTATTAAGTTTCCATTGATTTTGATCCTCCTTTGATACTTCAAAAAGCTTTATTTAAAATACAGAAGAAAATCTCAACACTGATTGTGTTCAGAATATGTGCTTTTCAGGGTAAATGATTGTAAAATAATTTAACATATCATTTTCAGTCTTATAGTTGAATGAGAGGGGCATTGGGGCCTATTAAAATCTGCAAAACTGTAGAAAAAAATCCTCCAAAACCAAAAAGCAAAAAAAAAAATTTGATCAAAACTGAAAACTGCATGTAAAACTGTCAAAACCAATACATTTTCACTTCCCAATTATTAAAACCCTGATGGATCTGATACAGTGGTGACAAGTGGAGCATACAGAGTTAGCTACACTAATTTCATTGCAGGATTTATGAATGCCATGGACTTGGCATTTGTATCTTCTAGTATCTGTTTAAATTAACAGCTGCTCTATTGAGAACCTCGAGCATGGTCTCTATGGACTCAGCAGCTGGAAATGGAGCCTAGTTAAATTAAGGAAATTTGCACAAAAGTCCTCTATAGGATTGCAATTTTGCAGTTGCTAAAAGCTATAGCTGCTCTGGAAAGTTTCATAGAAAATCCCTAATCTAACATTTCCATTTGTGAAGTAAGACCTGAAAGTTTGGAGATTCTATAGGAATGTTGAATCAATCAGTCACATGTGGCCTGTAACTTGGTTACTAACTTCGAGGTGGCGTTGATCAAGAAACTCTGGCAATATTCCGTGCATAGCTGTATCCTATTGTGTGTACCCTTACCCTCCACTCCCCCTCACCTTGGGGGAGGGAGTGGGTATGGCTACATGTAGACTACCTAGGGATCCCTGCGATATTTTAATTGGTTTGTCATGCATTCCTCTTGATAACATTTGCATTTAATGGCAATTCGAGATCAGTGGAGGTGTGTAATTGCTGCTCAGATCGAAGAGAAACTGTTACCCAAACTGTTAACCAAAAAATTCCAATGCCCCCCTCTTGAACCAAGTTAAGTGTCATACCAGAAAACCTGTCTGAATTTGCATTAATGTACATGTCAGTACTGAGATTAATTTTCTAAATCTGCTTCACATTTAATGAGCATATTGTA